CACACGCGCCCTATACCATGTCCTCTTCCTCTGCAACATCAGCCTACTCTTCTTCATCACACCATCCTCTTCAAGGCTATAATTATGGTTGCCATAGAAACAGAACAGTAGACCACCATTTGGTGGCATTCATGTCTGTCTGTTTCCGTCTCTCTTTCTGCCATTCCAATCCATTCCAAATGGCTTTAAATGCAATACTGTACAACAGACGTGTACTTGCAGAGGTTATCAGTAATAATATCTTTCTGTTGAAACATTGAGTTTTCCGCTCCTCTGCTAATATCCAGAGGAAAAACATCTGGGTGTATTTCCTGGTGAGTGAGACATGATTCCCGGCCTTGCCTTGCTCTGAGAGAGGACAAATGGTTTCCTTCCTTCCTCTCCTCCTCTTGAGTACCGGGCAGCTTCGACTAATCGAGCTGTTAGAGAACAATCGAGCTGTGAGAGAACACAAGTGCACGCACAAGCAAACACAGCATGACTCCCAAACAGGGAATGTCCTGAAAAGAGTCCAACAAGCACCCCCTGAAGCTGCACGGACATAAAGCCGGCGTTGGCAATCACTAAACAGAACTACAGATGAGAGGAAAATGGTCCTTTCCAAACTGTGCTTTGTGTCACCTCAAGCCTTTTGGAATACTCTTAGGACAAACTACATGACCACAACTGCATGACCACAACTGCATGACCACAACTAGATAAGCAAAACAATGAAATGGACTGGAACCTTGCTGGAATTTTCATCTCTGACCATTTGTTCCACAATACGAGAATAAGATGTCTGGCAGTATCAACATTATTTTGGGTATCTAGTTAGTAAGAGAATAAGAACTAGACCCATTACTTGGTAACCACTATTCTAGGGTCACATATAGGGAATAACTGTTCATTTGTGTGTGTGTGTTTATATGGGTCTGTCTGTCTGCGTGCGTGTGCTCCGGTGTGTGTGTGCCTAATGCATGTGACTGTGTGTATGAAGTGTGTAGCATCTCTCCAGGGTCTCTGCTTGCAGTGCTTTAATTAGCCTCATCCACCAACAGCACATGGTGAAAGGGGGGGAACTGGGGGAGGAATACAGCCTTCTGCTGCTGCTCACCATGTTGGCTCCCCCAGTCGCTCGCCAAACCCCCTAAACCCTGTTGGGAAGACTGAAACTGGCTCCAACATGGCCGCCTCTCTGTTTAAGTCGAGCCGGTCCCAAGGGAAGGATCAATTAAAAACTGAGACATACAGAGTTTGTACCGCAGATCATGTAAACTGTGTGCCTGCCAGATCATGTAAACTTTGTGCCTGCCAGATCATGTAAACTGTGTGCCTGCCAGATCATGTAAACTGTGTGCCTGCCAGATCATGTAAACTGTGTGCCTGCCAGATCATGTAAACTGTGTGCCTGCCAGATCACGTAAACTGTGTGCCTGCCAGATCACGTAAACTGTGTGCCTGCCAGATTACGTAAACTGTGTGCCTGCCAGATCATGTAAACTGTGTGCCTGCCAGATCACGTAAACTGTGTGCCTGCCAGATCACGTAAACTGTGTGCCTGCCAGATCACGTAAACTGTGTGCCTGCCAGATCATGTAAACTGTGTGCCTGCCAGATCATGTAAACTGTGTGTCTGCCAGATCATGTAAACTGTGTGCCTGCCAGATCATGTAAACTGTGTGCCTGCCAGATCACGTAAACTGTGTGCCTGCCAGATCATGTAAACTGTGTGCCTGCCAGATCACGTAAACTGTGTGCCTGCCAGATCACGTAAACTGTGTGCCTGCCAGATCATGTAAACTGTGTGCCTGCCAGATCACGTAAACTGTGTGCCTGCCAGATCACGTAAACTGTGTGCCTGCCAGATCACGTAAACTGTGTGCCTGCCAGATCATGTAAGCTGTGTGCCTGCCAGATCATGTAAACTGTGTGCCTGCCAGATCATGTAAACTGTGTCTGATTATATGACAACAGACTCTAATAAGGAAAATAAGTAATGGTGCCATTATCAACAGCGACCCTGGAGCGATTACGGTTAAGTGACTTGCTCGACAGATTTTTCACGTTGGCATAACGATCTAACCTTTGTGTGAGTGTGTCCACATGTAAACATGCATATGTAGATGAGAGCCTGAATATATGCATACACCTATGCCCTACTATGCTAATATCCTGGTCCAAATGGTGCCAGTTTTACAAGAGGGGGAAACAAGCATTAATAACAGAAGGAAGTCCACTGTAGCTCAGTTGGTAGAGCATGGCGCTCGTTTCCCACGGGGGGCCAGTATGAAAATGTATGCACTCACTAACTGTAAGTCGCTCTGGATAAGAGCGTCTGCTAAATGACTAAAAAAGTAAAAATGGAAGCAGCCACTGTAATTGGCGAGAAGAGAGAGAGAGAGAGAAGAGAGAGAGAGAGAGGAGAGAGGAGAGAGAGGAGAGAGAGAGAGAGAGAGAATAGAGTGCTCGAGAGAGAGAGGAATGCGAGCTAGTATCTCTCGGAGATCTTACTCGCTCTCTACAGAGAGATACTGGCGGAAAGCCTGACCCGAGAGAGAGAGAGAGCAAACAAAGCTGAGCAATCAGCCAGTCAGTCAGCTAATGACTTTTCCCATGGAGGAAAGGGGGAGAGAGGAGGGAGGAGAGAGGGAGAGAAAGGGAAAAATTAGGACAGGAAAGAGAGTAAAAAGAGAAGGAGACAGCGGGAGGAGAGGGAGAACAGTCAGTACTCAACCAGCGTGCTTGCAACATGTTCACTATACATGCTTGTTCACCCATTAAGATAAGGATGTGTGGGAAGACTGTGACTCACAAGTAAGCACGGTACATCTATTTCATACCAATGACCAATGGACAGAATAAGACAGAAAAGTCATCCAGTACAAATTGAATGATAGATACAAGCACCCACGGATGGGAACACACGCATGCATGCAAGCACTCACACACCCAAACACAGTAGTATGAAGTTCCTCTCCCATAAACCACATGGAAGACAGTGAAAATGAAAAGAGTGGCAGACAGTCAGAACAAGAAGAAGGATTCAAATGTCACTCTAGAGGGAGCCAGGGATGACAAGCACTCTCTCTCTCTCAGACACACACACACACACGAGACAGAGCAGTTCTCTATGGTCAGTCAGATGGAAGAAAAAGAGAAAGTGGGAAGAGCGAGAAAGAGAGAAAGAAAGTAAGAGCAAGAGAGAGAGTTAGAAAGAGAGAGGGAGGGAGAGGGAGATAGAGGGGCAGAGATTTACAGAAAAGGGGGATGAGTGAGTTGTAAAAAGCCCGGGGTATCCAGCTAGCGGCTCTCTCCCTCTTCATCATCATTAACGGCTCAGTTACGTGTGCATCATGGCAGGCCTCCAAGGTCAGCTAAACTAATCAAGGAGCTCTATCTGCACCACTAATGCTAATGCTAACATCAATACTCATATCCTACAGCTAAAGCGAATGCTAATATGACTAGCTCTATCTGCACCGCTAACGCTAATGCTAACATCAATACATATCCTACAGCTAAAGCTGATGCCAATATGACTAGCTCTAGCTGCACCTCTAACGCAAATGCTAACATCAATACATATCCTACAGTTAAAGATAATGCTAACACGACTAGGCACAGGGCAGTGGACCAGCGCTAGGCTATGCTAGCCAACATTGGTCAATGCTACCCTCTTATTATTATTATTATTATTATTATTTAACCTTTATTTAACTAGGCAAGTCAGTTAAGAACAAATTCTTATTTACAATGACGGCCTACCAAAAGGCAAAAGGCCTCCTGCGGGGACAGGGGCTGGGATATTTTTTTTTTGAGGCCTAAGAGGGTTTTATAAATAAGCATCAACCAGTGGGTCTTACGACGGGTATACAGAGATGACCAGTTTACAGAGGAGTATAGAGTGCAGTGATGTTTCCTATAAGGAGCATTGGTGGCAAATCTGATTGCCGAATGGTAAAGAACATCTAGCCGCTCGAGAGCACCATTACCTGCCAATATATAAATTATGTCGCCGTAATCTAGCATGGGTAGGATGGTCATCTGAATCAGGGTTAGTTTGGCAGCTGGGGTGAAAGAGGAGCGATTACAATAGAGGAAACCGTCTAGATTTAACCTTAGCCTGCAGCTTTGATATGTGCTGAGAGAAGGACAGTGTACCGTCTAGCCATACTCCCAAGTACAATCTCTAAACCCTCAGAGGTAGTAATCACACCGGTGGGGAGAGGGCATTCTTCTTACCAAACCACATTACCTTTGTTTTGGAGGTGTTCAGAACAAGGTTAAGGGCAGAGAAAGCTTGTTGGACACTAAGAAAGCTTTGTTGTAGAGCGTTTAACACAAAATCCGGGGGAGGGGCCAGCTGAGTAGAAGACTATCATCTGCATATAAATGGATGATAGTGCTTCCTACTGCCTGCACTATGTTGCTGAAGTAAATTGAGAAGAGCATGGGGCCTAGGATTGAGCCTTAGGGTACTCCCTTGGTGACAGGCAGTGGCTGAGACAGCAGATGTTCTGACTTTATACACTGCACTCTTTGAGAGAGCACTCATTAAGGAGCACTTTACCGCTCCTTAATGCTAATGCTAGCAGGACTAGCGCCCATGGCAAAGGACCAGCATTGAGACTATGCTAGCCAACCCAGGGAAGGCGGCAGTTAGCCATGGCCAGGTTAAAGCTTGCTCCTCTGGAGATGGAGAAGATGATTAGGAAATAGGGCCATGGGACGAGATAAGGTGTGTATGTGTGTAAACTTTCATCTAATTTCTGTGTGTGTGGCGTGTTCTTGGTCCAGTTGCATGTGAGAGAAGACCACTGGCCCGTGTGAACACTGTGGCCTGGCAATGCCCCTCTAGCATGTGACTGTCATGTGACACACACACACACACACACACACACAGTAATATGTGCATATAACACACACACACACACAGCACTGTGATACTAAAAAGTGACTCATTCCAACTCAGCCATTCTCACTCAGCTAATATCATTAGCTGGGTTGCATTGTATACGCTAATCACCAACTCGCTAAAGGAGGAACTAATAAAAAAAGAATCTATTAAAAATCTATTAACCACACGATAGGTAATGCAATAAGCTTCATTCATTCAATTCACATAGGAATGTTATACAGAAGAAGCTCATACAGTAACTGTCTGATAAAGCAAGCAGTCTTCCATCATCACACTTCAGATTAGCACATGTGCATTCGCTGGCTATAGCTATAGTATTTCACCTAGATTGAATTAGTGTGATCATTTGATCAGTGGAGGATTATAGTGGAGGATCGAGTTAATGGAGGCTAGCCTGTTAGCATCTTAGCTTATTAGCGTCGAAGCGTGTAAGCATCGAAGCGTCGGCATCTGAGCGCGACAGTCGGCATCTGAGCGCGACAGTCGGCATCTGAGCGCGACAGTCGGCATCTGAGCGCGACAGTCGGCATCTGAGCGCGACAGTCGGCATCTGAGCGCTCAGCATCTGAGCACGACAGTCAGCATCTGAGCGCGACAGTCAGCATCTAAGCGCAACAGTCAGCATCTGAGCGCGACAGTCAGCATCTGAGCGCGACAGTCAGCATCTGAGCGCGACAGTCAGCATCTGAGCGCGACAGTCAGCATCTGAGCGCGACAGTCAGCATCTGAGCGCGACAGTCAGCATCTGAGCGCGACAGTCAGCATCTGAGCGCGACAGTCAGCATCTGAGCGTGACAGTCAGCATCTGAGCGTGACAGTCAGCATCTGAGCGCGACAGTCAGCATCTGAGCGCGACAGTCAGCATCTACATTTTACATTTACATTTTAGCCATTTAGCAGACGCTCTTATCCAGAGCGACTTACAGTTAGTGATTACATATTTTTTTTATACTGGCCCCCTGTGGGAATCGAACCCACAACCCTGGCGTTGCAAACGCCATGCTCTATCAACTGAGCTACATCCCTGCCGGCCATTCCCTCTCCTACCCTGGACGACGCTGGGCCAATTGTGCGCCGCCCATGAGTCTCCCGGTCGCGGCCGGCTGCGACAGAGCCTGGATTCGAACCAGGATCTCTAGTGGCACAGTTAGCACTGCGATGCAGTGCCTTAGACCACTGCGCCACTCAGGAGTGAGCCTTAGGGTATGGGGTAAGCGCGACAGTCAGCATCTAAGCGTGACAGTCAGCATCTAAGCGCGACAGTCAGCATCTAAGCGTGTCAGTCAGCAAATCAAATCACATTTTAAAACTACAACAGGTGTAGACCTTACAGTGAAATGCTTACATCTGAGCATGTTAGAATCTAAGCATGTTAGCTTCTAAGCATGTTAACATCTAAGCATGTTAGCATCTAAGCATGTTAGCATCTAAATATACTCGCGTGAAAACTAACCTTATGAACGGGAAGCATAGAAATAGAGCACATAGAACATATATACCCCTTCTTAAACATGCTTTCAATGAGAATGACAGATCTATAACTCGCATTTCTATGTGAATTTGGTTGGGTCGCCCAAAAAGTTACATAATGCAGCTTTAAGAGATTGTTGGCTGTGTTAGCTGAGTTCAGGGCTGCTCTTAGCCAAGGAACATACTGTGAGATGCAACGGCTACTTAAAGGAATAACCTATTAGAGTTAGGGTTGCTACGGCTACATTATTATTTTATTTATTTATTTTTTCAACCAGGTAAGCCAGTTGAGAACAAGTTCTCATTTACAACTGCGACCTGGCCAAGATAAAGCAAAGCAGTGCGATAAAAACAACAACAACACAGAGTTACATATGGGGTAAACAAAACGTACAGTCAATAACACAATAGAAAATCTATATACAGTGTGTGCAAATGTAGTAAGTTATGGAGGTAAGGCAATAAATAGACCATAGTGCAAAATAATTACAATTTAGTATTAACACTGGAGTGATAGATGTGCAGAATATGATACTGGGGTGCAAATCAGCAAAATAAATAGCAATGTAAAGTTATGTTAACTACATAAAGTAGTATACCTATCTATTAGGGTTAGGGTTACTGTGGCTACATAAAGAAATACCCTATTAGGGTTGCCGTAGCTACATAAAGAAATAACCTGTACGGGTTGCCGTAGCTACATAAAGAAATAACCTATTAGGGTTGCTGTGGCTACATAAAGAATAACCTATTAGGGTTGCTGTGGCTACATAAAGAATAACCTATTAGGGTAGCTGTGGCTACATAAAGAATAACCTATTAGGGTAGCTGTGGCTACATAAAGAATAACCTATTAGGGTAGCTGTGGCTACATAAAGAATAACCTATTAGGGTAGCTGTGGCTACATAAAGAATAACCTATTAGGGTAGCTGTGGCTACATAAAGAATAACCTATTAGGGTAGCTGTGGCTACATAAAGAATAACCTATTAGGGTAGCTGTGGCTACATAAAGAATAACCTATTAGGGTAGCTGTGGCTACATAAAGAATAACCTATTAGGGTTGCTGTGGCTACATAAAGAATAACCTATTACGGTTGCTGTGGCTACATAAAGAATAACCTATTAGGGTAGCTGTGGCTACATAAAGAATAACCTATTAGGGTTGCTGTGGCTACATAAAGAATAACCTATTAGGGTAGCTGTGGCTACATAAAGAATAACCTATTAGGGTAGCTGTGGCTACATAAAGAATAACCTATTACGGTTGCTGTGGCTACATAAAAAACGTGTGAGTGTATCGCACACAAGGCCAAGTAACAGTGGACCAAAAGGTGAGTGTGTGTGTGTGTCTGTGTGTGTGTGTGTGTGTGTGTGTGTGTGTGTGTGTGTGTGTGTGTATATGTGTGTGTGGTGTGTGTATATATATGTGTGTGTGTGTGTGTGTGTGTGCCTGGCACTCTGTCATCTCTAGGTATGTGTGTCACTGTTCTAGTTGGCACCGATCAAAGGTACGGCAGGTCAGTAAGTCTACTACTGTACTCAGAGCACCACAAGACCTTTAAGTGTGCCAATAAAATGCCCAACGTAAAAAATCCAATGTTACACCAAAGCAATGCCAAGCGCATCAAACGGAACAAAGACACTTTAAAGAGACTTTTAAAACAAACAAAAAAATGGGCTATTAAAAATATTGTTTGGGCCATTCACAGACAAATAAATAAGTTTTAAAACAAATCTTTGACCTTGTTGTACAATTCAATAATTTCAAGCTACAATAACAAAAAATAACAAAAAACATGTTCCTTATCATTGGCCCAAACCGATATGTGCCAATCTAGCTTTGAGACTCATCTAATCCTCTTTTGAAAAATGTATTCCAGCAAAAACATCCATTATTCATTCCTCTCTCTTTCTCCTTCTTTCCCTCTCTTCAATTTGCTAAATTAACCCCTTGCTGCATTGTTGGTTAAGGGCTTGTAAGTAAGCATTTCACTGTAAGGTCTACACCTGTTGTATTCGGCGCACATGGCAAATACAATTTCATTTGATTTGTACTGTGCTCTGAAATGAGTAGCTATCATAGCCGTCACACACTGCTGCTACGCTAAACGAGTGTCACAGCTAGCAACCAAAAAGCGTTAAATCTAGACCTATGTTCGCCTCCATCGAATGACTAATGGTTACGGTCTGGAAGGTAGGGTTGTATTAGTGTGACATACGAGGGGGTGTGAGACAGTGGTTTAAAAAGGGCTTCCAACGTCCTTAACTATCAAGACCAGTACTGTAAAAGTCTGTTAAGAGAGCCCTCATTACTGTCTCCAACCACTCGTACCTAACACTGGGCCTAGCACTATTTGTGTGTGTGTGTGTGTGTGTGTCCCACACACACCGCTGTGCTACTTGCCTCTCTGTGTGTTTACACCCCTCTGTATGCGTGCATGTCTGCGTGTGTATGCCTGCATGTGCACACCTATGTGCGTGCCTGTATGTGTCTTTGTGTGCGAGTGTGTATGCATGTGCCTAGCTTTGTGTCAGACAGCCTTGTCCTTAATTAAACTGAGAGGAAAATTGAGGGTGCGAGCTGCATCTCATTGCTGTAGCCACTCTGCTCTCTCTTTGCCTATTATCTGATACAGAGAATTCTTTGATCAGAGGAGAGAGCGAGAGCGAGAGAGTGAGAGAGCGCGAGAGAGAGAGAGCGCGAGAGAGAGAGAACGCGAGAGAGAGAGAGAGCGCGAGAGAGAGAGCGCGAGAGCGAGCGCGAGGCGAGCGAGAGAGAGAGAGCGCGAGTGAGAGAGAGAGCGAGAACGAGTGAGAGAGACAGCGAGAGCGAAAGTGAGAGAGAGAGCGAGAGCAAGAGTGAGCGAGAGAGAGAGTGAGCGAGAGAGAGAGAGAGCGCGAGTGAGCGAGAGAGAGAGAGCGCGAGAGAGCGTGAGAGCGCGAGAGAGAGAGAGAGAGAGCGAGAGAGAGCGAGAGAGATAGAGAGAGAGAGAGAGAGACAGAGAGACAGAGAGAGTGCGAGAGAAAGAGAGTGAGAGAGAGTGCGAGAGAAAGAGAGTGAGAGAGAGTAAAAAGCCATCCTATTTCTTCAGAGAAAGCACTGGAGCCAGACCCAAGGGAAGAGAGAAAGAGAACAAGAGAAGAGAAGAGTCACTCAAAAATATTTAAGCCTTTCACTCCTCTTAAGAATAGGCTATTTCTGTGTGGTGCTAAGCTAGGGTCATCAATGAGTTGGTGTGAGCAGAGGCACCGTCCAGCATATAGTGGAGGCACGCACACACAGACACACACACAAATATGAGCAGATACAGTGGGGAAAAAAAGTATTTAGTCAGCCACCAATTGTGCAAGTTCTCCCACTTAAAAAGATGAGAGAGGCCTGTAATTTTCATCAAAGGTACAGGTCAACTATGACAGACAAATTGAGAATTTTCTTTACAGAAAATCACATTGTAGGATTTTTTATAAATTTATTTGCAAATTATGGTGGAAAATAAGTATTTGGTCACCTACAAACAAGCAAGATTTCTGGCTCTCACAGACCTGTAACTTCTTCTTTAAGAGGCTCCTCTGTCCTCCACTCGTTACCTGTATTAATGGCACCTGTTTGAACTTGTTATCAGTATAAAAGACACCTGTCCACAACCTCAAACAGTCACACTCCAATCTCCACTATGGCCAAGACCAAAGAGCTGTCAAAGGACACCAGAAACAAAATTGTAGACCTGCACCAGGCTGGGAAGACTGAATCTGTAATAGGTAAGCAGCTTGGTTTGAAGAAATCAACTGTGGGAGCAATTATTAGGAAATGGAAGACATACAAGACCACTGATAATCTCCCTCGATCTGGGGCTCCACGCAAGATCTCACCCCGTGGGGTCAAAATGATCACAAGAACGGTGAGCAAAAATCCCAGAACCACACGGGGGGACCTAGTGAATGACCTGCAGAGAGCTGGGACCAAAGTAACAAAGCCTACCATCAGTAACACACTACGCCGCCAGGGACTCAAATCCTGCAGTGCCAGACGTGTCCCCCTGCTTAAGCCAGTACATGTCCAGGCCCGTCTGAAGTTTGCTAGAGTGCATTTGGATGATCGAGAAGAGGATTGGGAGAATGTCATATGGTCAGATGAAACCAAAATATAACTTTTTGGTAAAAACTCAACTCATCGTGTTTGGAGGACAAAGAATGCTGAGTTGCATCCAAAGAACACCATACCTACTGTGAAGCATGGGGGTGGAAACATCATGCTTTGGGGCTGTTTTTCTGCAAAGGGACCAGGACGACTGATCCGTGTAAAGGAAAGAATGAATGGGGCCATGTATCGTGAGATTTTGAGTGAAAACCTCCTTCCTTCAGCAAGGGCATTAAAGATGAAACGTGGCTGGGTCTTTCAGCATGACAATGATCCCAAACACACCGCCCGGGCAACGAAGGAGTGGCTTCGTAAGAAGCATTTCAAGGTCCTGGAGTGGCCTAGCCAGTCTCCAGATCTCAACCCCATAGAAAATCTTTGGAGGGAGTTGAAAGTCCGTGTTGCCCAGTGACAGCCCCAAAACATCACTGCTCTAGAGGAGATCTGCATGGAGGAATGGGCCAAAATACCAGCAACAGTGTGTGAAAACCTTGTGAAAACTTACAGAAAACGTTTGACCTGTGTCATTGCCAACAAAGGGTATATAACAAAGTATTGAGAAACTTTTGTTATTGACCAAATACTTATTTTCCACCATAATTTGCAAATAAAATCATTTTTTTTCCTCATTTTGTCTGTCATAGTTGACGTGTACCTATGATGAAAATTACAGGCCTCTCTCATCTTTTTAAGTGGGAGAACTTGCACAATTGGTGGCTGACTAAATACTTTTTTTCCCCACTGTACATGCACATACACAGCAGTTCTCACGGTGTGAGAAAATCTACCACAGTGCTTAAGGTGTGTGTGTGTGTGTGTGTACATATGTGTGTGAAACAAGCCATAAGATCTCTCTTCTTATGTCGCCTTCAGGGAACAATGTTCCATCTTCCATTCTTTGTTACGTTCAGAAAAAAGAAGACAGGCAGGCTAACAAGCCAACAGATAGGGAGACTGTAGCATACTTGGGCATTATTGATTTGAGCTAATTAAAAGCCACATGCTTCACTGACACACACAGAAGCAGACAAACGCAGGTACACACACAGACAGACTCACACACAAACACATACACACACACACACAGTTCCTGGAGTGCAGCTGTGATGGCTTGGAGCATTAGCAGTGTGAAACATAGGAGATTGGCCACGCTTCACTTCCTAGCTGGGTTCTATCTCAGCCTGTATCTGGGTGAGACCAACACGGTGCCTGATTTACACTACAGGGCAGACCCAAACTGCACTGTGCTGGCTGGAATATTTTCTTTATCACATAGTCCATTCCAGCACAGTTCTAGCAACTTTGGTTGCAGGAACATTCCAGAAAAATTGTGTCAGCATAAGCAGGCCAGCCTAGTGCTACAGGTTTGACCCTGTAATGGGAATCACTTTATTTATTTCATCACTTGTATCACACTAACACAATACTAATAATCTTAACAACAAAACTATAATATAATACTTCCTGATAATTTGGCCAGCAAAACTGATTGACTCAGGATCAACTGCAGTTGATCCTGACTTCTCATCTGTCCATCCCTCGCTCTTTCTCAGTCTCTCCTCTTAATATAATATAATAATATGCCATTTAGCAGACGCTTTTATCCAACGCGACTTACAGTCATGTGTGCATACATTTTTACGTATGGGTGGTCCCGGGGATCGAACCCACTACCCTGGCGTTACAAGCGCCATGCTCTACCAATTGAGCTACAGAGGACCACACCTCTTGAACTGTGCTGCAACAACTCATGCCTCTGCTCACACACTGCCAATTGAGGAACACACACACACATACACACACACACTCACATATACACAGACTTTAACCACGTTTTCTGTGAAATGAATCTAAAAGTTTGTGGGCTGTACCATACCATGCCATATGTTAATATACATTACAGGTGAGAGAGTGAGAGTCAGCTATTGAGATAGATGGAAGGGGAGAGGGGGAGGGAGGGAGGGAGGGAGAGAGGGAAAGAAAGAGAGAGATGGGAAGCTGAGTACTTTAAGTAAATCAGGATGACAGTAAACCCATTCACTCCCAAAACAACATGTTTAAATGACCCTCCCTATACACAGATGGACTACAGATGTGTGTGTCTGCCTTTGACAGTGTGTGCGTGTTATCAATGTCATTGGGTCTGGTCTGGGTCCCGTCTGTTTGCCAGGCTGGCCAGCAGACCGCTCTCTCAGTACGCCTCCTCCACCCAGGAGAAAAGTACAGTCCACCCAGGAGAAAAGGACTGGACAGTCCACCCAGGAGAAAAGGACTGGACAGTCCACCCAGGAGAAAAGGACTGGACAGTCCACCCAGGAGAAAAGGACTGGACAGTCCACCCAGGAGAAAATGACTGGTCAGTCCACCCAGGAGAAAATGACTGGTCAGTCCACACACACAATCCTTCTACTATACTCCTATCTGTCTCTCTCCATCTCTCTCTTTTTCGAATCCATCAATCCCTCTGTCTGTCTATCCGTCCCACTGTCCTTAGCGCTCTTGATCTCTCCCTCCCTCTATCCCTTTTTCCATCCTGCTATCATATGAGGTTGGGGTCCTATCTGCAGCTTATCCTTAAAAAGAAGAGAGAGAGAGAGAGAGAGAGAGAAGAGAGAGAAGAGATAGAAGAAAGAGAGAGATAGAAAGATAGAAGAGAGAGGGGGGGGGGGGGTGTTTAGTTGGGGTGTTTGCTGTCAGTCTGCCAAGTCTCTGACACACAGAAAGACACACTGTACGCTTACACACAACCACAGATTGCCCAGCCCCCCCCCCTTTTTTTTTTGGGGGGGGTTTTTAAAAGGGGGGGGGGCCCCCCCCCGGGGGGAAACCCCCCCTTTTTAAAACCCCCCCCAAAAAAAAACCCCCTTTTGGGGAAAAAGGAAAAAAGGGGGGGGAAAAAAAAAAAAAAAAAAAAGGGGGGAAAAAATTTTTAAGGGGGGGGAAAAGGGGGGGAAAAGGAAAAAGGGGGGGAAAAAAAAAATTTTTCCCCCAAAAAAACCCTTTCCCCCCCCCAAAAAAAAAAACCCCCCCTTTTTTTAAAAGGGCCCACGGTTTTGGGCTTTTTTCCCCCCTTTTTTTTTTCCCCCCCTTTTGGGGGGGCCCCTTTTCCAGTTCCCCCCCCCCCCCAAATTTTCCCCCCCCCCAAAAAAACCCCCCCGGGAAAAAAAAAAGGAAAAAAAAAAGGCCCGGGGGGGAAAAGGGAAAAAGGGGGGGGGGGAAAAAAAGGGGGAAAAGGAAAAAGGGGGGAAAAAAAGAAAAAAAGGGGGGGCCCCGGGGGGGGGGGGGGGGGGGGGGGGGGGTTTTAGGGGGTTTTCCCACCCCTTTTTTAAACCAAAATTTCCTTTTTTCCCCCCCCTTGCCCCCCCCCTTTTTTTTTTTTAAAATTGTTTTTTTTTAAAAAATTTTTAAAAAAAAGGGGGAAAAAAAAAAGGGAAAAGGGAAAAAAAGAAAAAAAAAAGGGGGGAAAAAAAGGGGGGGGGGGTTTTTTGGGGGGGTTTTTTTCCCCCCCAAAAACCCAAAAGAAAGGAAAAAAAATTTTAAAACCCCCCCTTTTTTTTTCCCTTTAAAAAAAAAAAAAATTCCCCCCCTTTTAAAACCCCCCGGGGGGTTTTGGACCCCCCCCAAGGGGGGGGAACAAAAAAAAAAAAAAGGAAAAAACCGGGGGTTTTGCCTTTTTCTTTTGGGGGGGGGGGGAAACCCTCCCGGGAAATTTTTTCCCCTTTTTTAAAAATAAAAAAAAAAAACGTTTTCCCCCCCCAAAAATTTTTTTTGGGGGGGGCCAGGGGGGGGAAAAATTGAGGGGGGGGGGCCAAAAAGGGAAAAAAAGGGGGGGAAACCCCCCCAAAGGGGGGAAAAAAAGGGGAAAGAGAGGGGGGGGGGAAAATTTTGGGGGGAAAAAAAACCCGGGGGGGGGGGGGGGGAAAAAAGGGGGGGGGAGGGGGGGGGGGGAAAAAAAAAATTTTTTTGGGGGGGTTTCCCCCCCCCCCCCCCCGGGGGGGGGGGCCCCCCTTTTTTTTTTTTTTTTTCCCCCCCCCCCCCTTTTTTTTTTTTGGGGGGGGGGGGGGGGGGGGGGCCCCCCCCCCCCGGGGGGGGGGGGGGGGGGGGGGGGGCCCCCCCCCCCCCCAAAAACCCCCCCCCCCGGGGGGGCCCCCGGGGGCCCGGGGGGGGGGGGGGTTTTTTGGGGGGGTTTTTTTTTCCTTTTTTTTTTTTTTAAAAAAAGGGAAAAAAAAAAAAAATTGGGGGGGAAAACCAAAAAAAACCATTTTTCAATTTTCCCCCCTTTAACCTTTTTTTTTTTTCCCCCTTTTTTTCCCCCCCCCCAAAAAAAAATTTTTTGGACTTCATGACATAGGCTATCATGAAAACAACAAGATTCACCTCCACTTGTCCAATAAATCATATAGTGTTCTATGTTCAGAGTCAGAGGAACCTCTGAGGGGTGGTGGGGCATGTGGGCAACCCCTCAGTAGGACTACCTGTGTCTGGCATGCCTGGCACTCATGGCACTGGGCAGGCGGGCACCTCTGGAACAGAGAGCAGATGGGAGCATTGTACCCCCTCTGGTGAAGAACAGCTAAAGAATGCTAACGCTATGGTATCGCAAGGGTGGAGGGGAAATGTTGATGGGGAGAGTGAGGGGGGGAGAAGAGAGAGAGAGAGAGAGAGGAGAGGAGAGAGAGAGAGACGAGGAGAGGAGAGAGAGAGAGAGAGAGAGAGAGGAGAGGAGAGAGATGGGGAGAGAGAGAGGAGAGACAGGAGGGAGAACAGAGAGGATGGGGAGGATTACACGCTAGAATGGGGGGAGATAAAAGAGAATGGGGGAGAGAGAGAGGAGGGGGGAGGAGAGAGATGGGGAAAGAGGAGAGATGGGGAGGAGAGAGAGATAGGGATGAGAGTGTGAGAGAGGATGGGGGGGGGGGAGAGGAGAGAGAAGTGGATGGGGAGAGGAGAGAAGATGGGGAGAGAGAAGGGAAAGGAGAGCAAGGGAAAGAGGGAATGGAGACAGGGGAAGGAGGGGACAGGGGAAGGAGACAGGGGAAGGAGACAGGGGAAGGAGACAGGGGAAGCTGGAGACAGGGGAAGGAGACAGGGGAAGGAGACAGGGGAAGGAGACAGGGGAAGGAGACAGGGGAAGGAGACAGGGGAAGGAGACAGGGGAAGGAGACAGGGGAAGGAGAGGGGGAGGAAGTAAAAAGGGATTTGATATTCAACTAATTAGCAACAGAATCCTTCAGAGAAAGAGAGGGCTGTGTGTTAAAGGGAAATGATGGAGATCATGGAACATACATAAGACTGACAATTGATGTCACCGATAGACCATCAAACATGCACTGTCACTGCCTTTTCTATTACCCCTCCCTCTTCTAACTTTCTCTAACTATCTTTCACTCACTCTTTCATTCTCTGTCTCTACAGCTAAGAGAGGGAAACGCTCCAGGGAGCTTGGTCCCCAAAGACCCACTCATCCATCCAACAGCTTTTCTTACCATCTCTCCCTCTTTCCATTTCCACCCCTCTTTTTCTCTCAGTCTCACTCCATCTCTCCCAAACTCACAGGGGAATAGGGTCTCAATACTCAGAAGAGGCAAGACCATACAGCAGAATCCCTCTCCGCTTGTAGAGCTTTCACACACACATCTCCCTTCTGTCTGTACAACCTAATCCATCAAAAAGAGGTTCCACCACACGTTACTAATCCACTTCTCTCCCTCTTCCTTTCGCGATCCCTTTCATGCTCTCTCCCCCTCGCTCTCTCATCCTCCCTCCATCACTATCTCTTCCTCCATCCACCCCCTCTTTCCAAGAATGATGAGTTAGGCCTAGTTGATCTGGGAGATGACACATTTCTATTTTAGTCCTTTAGTAGATGCTCTTATACAGAGTAAGAAGGAAATAAATTCCACAAATTACTTTAAAAAAAATTATTTAATCAAAATAGTTTAACCAACTTATTTTTTTGCAATAATCACTGATCTGGATTTCACGTCTATGAAAATGCCCTTTTTTGTTACATTTAACTAGAACCAAGCATAATGCACATTCACTAATCATGACTAACTTCTTGTAGAAGGCATTAGGCTATAGAAAATTAACACAGGTCTCATCAACAATCTCTCAAGCCCACATGCTTGTGATTAGCCAGCTTATCTTTATATTTCAAGTTTAGTCAACTTGGATCTATTTGCTAGCTAAGAAGGTTGAACAGTTTAATTGTTATGAACACACCCTTCTGTCTGTCTCCAACTGTTTGAAAAGCATGTTAGCCTGTCCACTTTGTTCAGATGTTGAAATCAAGTGGCCTACCTTATTTCTCAGAATGAGAACGAGTTGCCAATTACTTATAGAGAATGCTATTCATTGACTACAGCTCAGCATTCAACACCATAGTGCCCTCTAAGCTCATCACTAAGCTAAGGATCCTGGGACTAAACACCTCCCTCTGCAACTGGATCCTGGACTTCCTGACGGGCCGCCCCCAGGTGGTAAGGGTAGGTAACAACACATCTGCCACACTGATCCTCAACACGGGGACCCCTCAGGGGTGCGTGCTCAGTCCCCTCCTGTACTCTCTGTTCACCCATGACTGCATGGCCAGGCACGACTCCAACACCATCATTAAGTTTGCCGACGACACAACAGTGGTAGGCCTGATCACCGACAACGATGAGACAGCCTATAGGGAGGTGGTCAGATATCTGGCCGTGTGGTGCCAGGACAACAACCTCTCCCTCAACGTGACCAAGACAAAAGGAGATGATTGTGGACTACAGGAAAAAAAATAGGACTGAGCACGCCCCCATTCTCATCGACGGGGCTGTAGTGGAACAGGTTGAGAGCTTCAAGTTCCTTGGTGTCCACATCACCAACGAACTATCATGGTCCAAACACACCAAGACAGTCGTGAAGAGGGCACGACAAAGCCTATTCCCCCTCAGGAGACTAAAAAGATTTGGCATGGGTCCTCAGATCCTCAAAAAATTCTACAGCTGCACCATCGAGAGCATCCTGACTGGTTGCATCACCGCCTGGTATGGCAACTGCTTGGCCTCCGACCGCAAGGCACTACAGAGGGTAGTGCGTACGGCCCAGTACATCACTGGGGCAAAGCTTCCTGCCATCCAGGACCTCTATACCAGGCGGTGTCAGAGGAAGGCCCTCAAAATTGTCAAAGACTCCAGCCACCCCAGTCATAGACTGTTCTCTCTGCTACCGCACGGCAAGCGGTACCGGAGTGCCAAGTCTAGGTCCCAAAGACTTCTCAACAGCTTCTACCCCCAAGCCATAAGACTCCTGAACAGCTAATCATGGCTACCCGGACTATTTGCACTGCCCCCCCACCCCATCCTTTTTACGCTGCTGCTACTCTGTTAAGTATTTATGCATAGTCACTTTAACTCTACCCACATGTACATATTACCTCAACTACCTCAACTAGCCGGTGCCCCCGCACATTGACTCTGCAACGGTACCCCCCTGTATATATAGCCTCCCTACTGTCACTTTATTTTACTTCTGCTCTTTTTTTTCTCAACACTTTTTTTTGTTGTTGTTTTATTCTTACTTTTTTTGTTTAAAATAAATGCACTGTTGGTTAAGGGCTTTAAGTAAGCATTTCACTGTAATGTCTGCACCTGTTGTATTCGGCGCATGTGACCAATAAAATTTGATTTGATTTGATATAATTGTGTTTTATACTTATTACAGATTTATAAAATAGAGGACTAGACAGCTAGTATACCAGTCTTTGGCTAAAATGCTGCTAGCGCTACGTGGTACCCCAATTGTGCGCAACAAGCTGAGCATTCATTTTCCAGAATCAATGTTCATTCATACTCTCATGTCTGCTCTCCTTGCAATTTGAGTATTTGAGACATAAAAAGGGTATTGTTAGAAAAGTTCTCTATTACAGTAAAATAATGTCTCAATGTGTTTTGGTGTGCATATGACCGATTCTGTTGGACCAACCCTCAAATGCAAATAGCGAGTTGAAACCGCTTGTCAGAGAGGAAGATGTGATCTCTCAACTTTGATGGTGTGAGTGGCAGGGGGAGGGGCTTGGTGTGTGTGTAAACCATAGAGGAAGAAGCGAAAGGTTTCACTCTCGCTAAAATCTGTCCAAAATAAGCCCAATGCGTTTCTAAGGGCTTATTTTGGACCTAAACTTGTCGCCTACCTTCCCGCCTTTGGGACAACAACTCCCATTGTTAAGGCAGAGATGTGCATCTCTTCATTACATACAGATCTCTGGTGTAAATGGGATGGTTCACACAGCACAGAGGAGCGAAAGAGACGAGACCAAAAAGACAACAAGCGGACATAAACGCTCATAAAAAGTATACAGGCATTTGGAATATCGCGCAAAAACATACATTTGAATTAATCTAATTAATTTGATATATCGCCCAGCCATAGGACAAAGCCATGAAATTTAGGAGGAATCAGAATTATGATAATAACTAACCATACACAGTGGGGCAACTTCCTGTTTACAAAAATGAACTACGATAAAATGTGAATGTGCCAAGACTGGGAATGCCTCAAGGTTCATAGAGCATAGGCTAATGCAGTAGGCTTGAGATGTGCATCCCTTTCCAACTGCAGTTCAGATAGTAGGCCTGGCCTACACACAAGTCAGCAGCACCATCCACAATAAAGCAGGTGAAAACAAAATGGCGGAAATCCCACAGAAAAAAACAACTGACATGAACAACAACCCAGCTAGAACATCATGCGTTCTCCTTCGCCAGAAAAATAATTCTTACCTTCTTCATCCTGCCGTTGCGCGTGCCAACAAAGGCCACAGTGTTGCCGCGGTAATCGTAGGCGGCCACCGAGGTCATGCCGTCGTCCTTGTCGATGAAGAGCGGTATTCCTTCTATGGTGCTGGTCCCGCCCAGAGGCTGGTTAAAGTCCTGGCCGCAGAAGTTGTCATCGATCTGGAGAGGCTGAGCGAGAGCGAGAGAGATTGGAAAGAATTACACATTGGAAAGAATTAACCAAAAAACTGAGCAAACTGGAATGCTATTTGGCCCTAAACAGAGAGTACACAGTGGCAGAATACCTGACCACTGTGACTGGCCCAAAATTAAGGAAAGCTTTGACCATGTACAGACTCAGTGAGCATAGCCTTGCTATTGAGAAAGGCTGCCGTAGGCAGACCTGGCTCTCAAGAGAAGACAGGCAACGTGCACACCGCCCTCAAAATGAAGTGGAACCTGCGCTGCACTTCCTAACTTCCTGCCAAATGTATGACCATATTAGAGACACATGTTTCCCTCAGATTACACAGACCCACAAAGAATTTGAAAACAAATCCAATTTTGATCAACACCCATATCTATTGGGTGAAATACCACAGTGTGTCATCACAGCAGCAAGATTTGTGACCTGTTGCCACAAGAAAAGGGTAACCAGTGAAGAACAAACACCATTGTAAATACAACCCTTTTGTACTTTAACTATTTGCACATCGTAACAACACTACAGTCGTGGTCAAAAGTTGAATGACAAGTATTGGTCTTCACAAAGTTCGCTGCTTCAGTGTTATGAGACATTTTTGTCAGATGTTACTATGGTATACTGAAGTATAATTACAAGCATTCCATAAGTGTCAAAGGATTTTACTGACAATTGCATTAAGTTTATGCAAAGATTCAATACTTGCAGTGTTGACCCTTCTTTTTCAACCTCTGCAATCCACCCTAGCATGCTGTCAATTAACTTCTGGGCCACATCCTGACTGATGTCAGCCCATTCTTGCATAATCAATGCTTGGAGTTTGTCAGAATTTGTGGGTTTTTGTTTGTCCACCCGCCTCTTGAGGATCGACCACAAGTTCTCAATGGGATTAAAGTCTGGGGAGTTTCCTGGCCATGGACCCAAAATGTTGATGTTTTCTTTCCAGAGCCACTTAGTTATCACTTTTGCCTTATGGCAAGGTGCTCCATCATGCTGGAAAAGGCATTGGTCGTCACCAAACTGTTCTTGGATGGTTGGGAGAAGTTGCTCTCGGAGGATGTGTTGGTACCATTCTTTATTCATGGCTGTGTTCTTAGGCAAAAATGTGAGTGAGCCCACTCCATTGGCTGAGAAGCAACCATACATATGAATGGTCTCAGGATGCTTTACTGTTGGCATGACACAGGACTGATGGTAGCGCTCACCTTGTCTTCTCCGGACAAGGTGTTTTCTGGATGCCCCAAACAATCGGAAAGGGGATTCATCAGAGAAAATGACTTTACCCCAGTCCTCAGCAGTCCAATCCCTGTCCCTTTTGCAGAATATCAGTCTGTCCCGGATGTTTTTCCTGGAGAGAAGTGGCTTCTTTGCTGCCCTTCTTGACACCAGGCCATCCTCCAAAAGTCTTCGCCTCACTGTGTGTGCAGATGCACTCACACCTGCCTGCTGCCATTCCTGAGCAAGCTCTGCACTGGTGGTGCCCTGATCCCGCAGCTGAATCAACTTTAGGAGACGGTCCTAGCGCTTGCTGGACTTTTTTTGGGCGCCCTAATGCCTTCTTCACAACAATTGAACCTCTCTCCTTGAAGTTCTTGAAGATCCGTAAATGGTTGATTTAGGTGCAATCTTACTAGCAGCAATATCCTTGCCTGTGAAGCCCTTTTTGTGCAAAGCAATGATGATGGCACGTGTTTCCTTGCAGGTAACCATGGTTAACAGAGGAAGAACAATGATTTCAAGAACCACCCTCCTTTTAAAGCTTCCAGTCTGTTATTCTAACTCAATCAGCATAACAGAGTGATCTCCAGCCTTGTCCTCATCAACACTATCACCTGTGTTAACGAGAGAATCACTGACATGATGGCAGCTGGTCCTTTTGTCGCAGGGCTGAAATGCGGTGGAAATGTTTTTTTGGGATTAAGTTCATTTTCATGGCAAAGAGGGACTTTGCAATTAATTGCAATTCATCTGATCACTCATGACATTCTGGAGTATATGCAAATTGCCATCATCAAAACTGAGGCAGTAGACTTTGTGAAAATTAGTATTTGTTTCATTCTCAAAACTTTTGACCACGACTGTACATAGCCATAATGACATTTGAAATATATCTTTCAAACTTTTGTGAGTGTAATGTTCACTGTTCATTTTTTGTTTATTTCACTTCTTTTATTGTCTATTTCACTTGCTTTTGCAATGTAAACATATTTTCCCATGCCAACAAAGCCCTTTGAATTGAATTGAATTGAATTGAGAGAGAAGGGGGGGAGAGAGAGAGAGAAGGGGGGGAGGGAGTGAGGGAGGGAGGGAGAAAGAAAGAAAGAAAGAAAGAAAGAGGGGAGAGAGAAAGAAAGATAGAGGAGAGAGAGAGCGAGAGAGAAAGAGAGAGCGAGAGAAAGAGAGCGAGAGAAAGAGAGTGAGAGAAAGAGTTTAGAGTTGTAACAGTGATATAACAGTGTCTATTTGTGTATACATAAACTAACAGCATCAGTATAACCAGAGGTTGTGTGACAGAAAGACAGAGGAAAGGGATAATGTTTTTGGTTCAGTTGTGTGTGTGTCTGCATATCTGCATAGTAGTGTTTTCGTGCGTGTGTCTGTGCGTGTGTATATTCAAATATTGTGTGTATCTCTTCAACTGATTCTCTAATCCACTCAGTCAGGGTTCTAATTCCAACCTGCTACTTGGGTTGCTTGTGGAGATAGGCTGAACCACTGACACATTAAAGCATTCAGCCTAGAGGGCAGAGGTCACCAACCTTACTACGCATATCAAGTAAGCCTCTCTCAAATCAGGCATGACACACCCATGACGGTGTGTGTGTGCAACACACACCCTACGAGGCCACTAGCCGAGGAAGGCTAGAATTGAAGTGGCGTCAGTGTGTGTTTAACACTGGCAACACACACACACACGCACACAGAGCGATTGTGTAAATGGTGGTGTAATCCAAATTCTTATCACTGCATCATCTGATTGATCCATCATCTGATTGATCCAGAGAAGAGACAGAAGAGAACAGATAACTCTTCCTCTCTCTCCCTTTACTTTTCTCTCCATCTGTGTAAATTGATGCAGCACGGCTTGCTTTGCGTCGATATCCCTTTATTCTCCCTCTCCCCTCTCCCTCTTACTTCCAATCAATCCCTTACCAAGCGCTACAGTAGACGAGTACAGTAAATCTACACATCAATATCCTCCCTCTTCTCTCCCCCCCCCACCCCTCCTCCTTCACTCTGCTTTTCTCTCGCTTAATCAAAGGGTCTCTACCTCAAAGCAGGAAGAAGGGCAGGGGGAGAAAGGCATGGGGAGGAGAAGAAGAGAAAGAGGAAGGAAAGCCAGCTGGGTATCAATTCAGTTAACAAAGCCCTCTCGGCCAACCCGCGGCCTGGTGGAGAGAGAGGGAAAAGGAGAGAAAGACGGAAAGCTGCTTTACCGGAACCTTCCATGACTCACTAGCAATGGGCATCTGGAGAAGGATGGGGAGAAGTGGAGTGAAGTGTGTGTGTTTCCACATGTCCATTACCTGAAACAAGTATTTTTATTCACTAATTGCCTTGGACAGCCTCCCATCTAGACAAAACAGCCTACACACACAAAACCAAGACATATCCCTAAAGCCTGTTCACCAAAATGACAAGAGGGAACATATTCAACCCAGTCAAGCTAGTCTCCATAAATCAGAATATGACTCAGGCACTTAATAAAACACAAAATGCAGCCCCTTGACACCAGAGCCTGAGGGAAGGACCACGAAGGGTTAATCCATCTTTGGGTGGGTGTATTTGAAAGGGTTAAGATGCACTACATGGTACACAGAGACAAAGTTATGGTAAAAGCTAGCTACGCTACACTGGACAGTATATTGTCAATCACAAGCAAAAGTGCACGAGCATACAACACAGTAAAAAAATATGGAACATTAAAAAATATTTCTGCCGAGGCGCACTTTGAAGATGCTGGAACAGTCCACATTTCCTTTTCCTCTGCAAACTAAACAAGTAATGAATAGAAGAATCTGACAACCCCATAATATACTGAACAAAAATATAAACATTCACCAATTTCAAAGATTTTACTAAGTTACAGTTCATATAGGGACATTAGTCAATTTAAATACATTCATTAGGATTGACTGGGAATACAGATATGCATCTGTTGGTCACAGATACCTTAAAAAAAAAGGTAGGGGTGTGGATCAGAAAACCAGTCGCTATCTGGTGTGACCACCATCTGCCTCATGCAGCGCAACATCTCCTTCGCATAGATTCGATCAGGCTGTTGATTGTGGCATGTGGAATGTTGTCCCACTCCTCTTCAATGGCTGTGCAAAGTTGTTGGATATTGGCGGGAACTGGAACACGCTGTCGTACACATCGATCCAGAGCATCCCAAACATGCTCAATTGGTGACATGTCTGGTGAGTATGCAGGCCACGGAAGAACTAGGACATTTTCAGCTTCCAGGAATTGTTTACAGATCCTTGCGACATGGGGCCATGCATTATCATCCCGGTATCTCTATGCATTCAAATTGCCATCAATAAAATGCCTATCCATACCATAACCCCACCGCCACCATGGGGTACTTTGTTCACAACATTGACATCAGCAAACCATTTGCCCACAGGGGCTATTTGACAAGTATAGTTAAAACCGGGATTTATCCGTGAAGAGCACACTTCTCCAGCGTGCCAGTGGCTATCGAAGGTGAGCATTTTCTCACCGATGTCAGTTAAGACACTGAACCGCAGTCAGGTCAAGACCCTGGTGAGGACGATGAGCATGCAGATGAGCTTCCCTGAGACGGTTTCTGACAGTTGGGGCAGCAATTATTCAGTTTCATCAGCTGTCCGGGTGGCTGGTCTCAGATGATGGATGTGGAGGTCCTTGGCTACACGTGGTCTGCAGTTGTGAGGCCAGTTGGATGTACTGCCAAATTATCTAAAACAACGCTGGAGGCAGCTTATTGTAGAAAAATTATCTGGCAACATCTCTGGTGGACATTCCTGCAGTCAGCATGCCAATTGCACACTCCCTCAAAACTTGAAACATCTATGGCATTGTGTTGTGTGACAAAACTTCACATTTTAGAGTGGCCTTTTATTGTCCCCAGCACAAGGTGCACCTGTGTAATGACCATGCTGTTTAAATCAACTTCTTGATATGCCACACTTTTCAGGTGGATGGATTATCTTGGCAAATGATAAATGCTCACTAACAGGGATGTAAACAAATTTGTGCACAAACTTTGAGAGAAAAAAGCTTTTTGTGCGTATGTGACTTGTTCCGGGAAATTAGGCGTATGTCGCACGTTACCACTTCACAGGAGCGGCGAACATAAACATTTATTTTTTATCAAAATGCATTTTTTGGCGGAAATGCCTTCTGGAACAAGTGAACTTTCACGTGCCTTAATAACAAACTTGTATTCCATCCATAAATACAAATAAAATTGTTAAGTTACAAATGTAGTTGGTTTAGCCATGGAAAAAGACAGGAACCTTACCGCTAGCCATGATCGGCTGAGATACTGAATGGGCTGGACATGCCGGGAGATGAGTTTGGATTGGTCTGCCATGTAGCATGCTTTTGTCTATCACGTGAGCTGTTTAGTATGTGTTGACAGTACTTTCTACCACGCCGTTTTTGAAAGATATAACGTTAGCCATTGAGAACTACAAAAGTTTTGCTACTTTTCTCAACAACATTGATGACCTGAATTTAGCAGGCGCTATCGACAGATCAGTTGGAAAAAGTGATGGGCTACTTTCTACACACGCCACGGTCAACGTGAACCGGAGTGACTTGACACAACGCTGGCTAAACAAGGGGTGCTTTCGTAAATTCACTCTGGCTATCTACTCCGATTTCAGAGCACTTTCGTCTGAGTGTGCCAGAGCGCAGAACAAATGATTAATTTACGAACGCTCAACACCCATTGAATATGGCCGGTGTCAGTAAACGTCGGCAAAAAAGCGTAATTAAATTGTAGCCAGCAGCACAGTTACAGTCACCAACACTCTGGACAACATGAAAACACCCTAACCAACCAGCTCTGCTAGGGGCGAGTAAAATGGTCAGAGTGAGATTCTCTCTTATTTGTAATAATAATAATAATATAATGTGTCTGGAAGTAGCTAGCAAGCTAGCCAACATTAGCTTGAGTGCTTGACTGCCGTTGTGAGGTCTGAACGCTCGGATCAACCCTACTCCTCGGCCAGAGCGTCCAGTGTGAGCTCTAAACGCTCCGAGAGCTAAAAGCTCTGAAATTACGAAAGGACAATCTGACAACGCTCTGAATTTACGAACGCCCAGAGCGCACTCTGAGCGCACTCTGGCACTCCAGATTGAATTTATGAACACACCCAAGATGTAGCTACAAATAAAACGGAATAAATGGTTCAAGTCTGCCTGAAGCGTTCATTCATGTATACGGGTAAGAGTCTAGATACATTTTCAGATATAAGTTTCTAATTTTGTGAGAAAGTCGTTTTTATTGCAAGTTACAGCGTACTGTTAGTTACAGTAGATAGCAAATGTTAGCTTGCCTGCTCACTAGCTAACGTTACATTTATGATCTGCAGTAATATTATTAGAATCAGAAAACTATTTGCATTGCTAGCTATAGCATAATGTTAGCTAGCTAACATTGAACCTAGTTTGTTAGCTTTAGCTACCTGCAGATTCATACTACAGCTATGACAATGTTTGTATTGGTAGTAGTATGAGTTGGGATTACGCCAGTTGATTGTTTGGCTACATAGCTAGCTAGGTACCTACAGTTGAAGTCGGAAGTGTACATACACTTAGGTTGGAGTCATTAAAACTAGTTTTTCAACCACTCCACACATTTCTTGTTCACAAACTATAGTTTTGGCAAGTCGGTTAGGACATCTACTTTGTGCATGACACAAGTCATTTTTCCAACAATTGCTTACAGACATATTATTTCACATATAATTCATTGTATCACAATTCCAGTGGGTCAGAAGTTTACATAAACTAATTGTAAACTCTCCAGTATGTATTATTACATGACCCATTAAATTAGCAGGTGTGTCTGGGGGTGATTATGTGTACATGTCTAGACAATAGTGACCCATCCACTTAGCTAGATGTGGCTGGGGGGTAGTTATAGCAATTCCTTCACATGACCCATCAATTTAGACAAGTGTAACGGGTAATTGTCATCTAATAATGATAACATATTTATAAAGTATTCTTATCTGGACACTTTCTTTTTTTGATATTGCTACAATGCAAGTAACCACTTTACTGTACAGTTTACACCTTCTGTATCCTGTGCATGTGACATATAAACTTAGATTTTATTTGATATAGTGTGTTTCACATGTGAATCCTTAAAGAGATGGGTGGGGCTAAGGCTTAAAAGGGTGTGAATGATGCTGAATGTTTGTGGACAAAGAAGAGCTCTCCAGTATGTGTACCAATACATTTAAGGACCATTTTCTCAAAAGTGTATCATCTTTCCAAGCAGAATTACTTTCCCATTGTTCCTCAACTGCAGTTTATGATATACCATTTTCTAGCACTGAGTCTCTACTTTTATCCAATGTAAAAAACACAATTTCAAAAATCTAGGCGTTCGGTCATATATGGAAAATGTCTGGGATCTTTCATTTCAGCTCATGAAACACGGGACCAATACTTTACATGTCGTGTTTATATTTTTGTTCAGTGCAAAATAGTTGATCTATTTACCTAGTCAGCTCTTTGTTGTGTTTTCTATGCAAGATAAATATTCCTTTAGATATTAATATATTCAAATTATGAGCGCCATGGGGAGGGAATTCCCAGAATCTAATATAAAGTGCTTTCGGAAAGTATTCAGACCCCTTGACTTTTCCACATTTTGTTAGGTTAGTTTTACTCTAAAATGGATTAAATCAATTGTTTTCCTGATCAATCTACACACAATACCCCAAAATGACAAAGCAAAAACAGGTTTAGAAATGTTGTCAAAATAAAAAACAGAAATACCTTATTGACAGAAGTATTCAGACCATTTGCTATGAGACTCGAAATGTATCTCAGGTGCATCATGTTTCCATTGATCATCCTTGAGATGTTTCTACATCTTGATTGGAGTCCAAATGTGGTAAATTCAATTGATTGTACATGATTTGGAAAGGCACACACCTGTCTATATAAGGTCCCACTGTTGACAGTGCATGTCAGAGCAAAAACCAAGCCATGAGGTCGAATACATTTTCCGTAGAGCTCCGAGACAGGATTGTGTCGAGGCACAGATTTGGGGAAGGGTACCAAATAATGTCTGCAGCATTGAAGGTCCCCAAGAACACAGTGGCCTCCATCATTCTTAAATGGAAGAAGTTTGGAACCACCAAGACTCTTCCTAGAGCTGGCCGCCCGCCCAAACTGAGCAATCTGGGGGAGAAGGGCCTTGGTCAGGGAGGTGACTAAGAACCCGATGTTTACTCTGACAGAGCTCCAGTGTTCTTCTGTGGAGATGGGAGAACCTTCCAGAAGGACAAACATCTCTGCAGCGCTCCACCAATCAGGCCTTTATGGTAGAGTGGCCAGATGGAAGCCACTCCTCAGTAAAAGGCACACGACAGCCCAATTGGAGTTTGCCAAAACGCACCTAAAGACTCTCAGACCATGAGAAACAAGATTCTCTGGTCTGATGAAACCAAGATTGAAGTCTTTGGCCTGAATGCCAAGCATCACATCTGGAGGAAACCTGCCACCATCCCTACGGTGAAGCGACGCTCCCCATCCAACCTGACAGAGCTTGAGAGGATCTGCAGAGAAGAATGGGAGAAACTCCCCAAATACAGGTGTGCCAAGCTTGTAGCGTCATACCCAAGAAGACTCGATGCTATAATCGCTGCCAAAGGTGCTTCAACAAAGTACTGAGTAAAGGGTCTGAATAGTTATGTAAATGTATTATTTCCGTTTTTTATGTTCTCTCTGCTACTGCACGGCAAGCGGTACCGGAGAACCAAGTCTAGGTCCAAAAGACTTCTTAACAGCTATGCAAATAGTCTGGGTAGCCATTTTATTATTTATTTAGTAGGTTCCTCAAACTTTTACCAGCCACCACCGGTTTACCCTTATGGCCTGCGTATTCTCTTTACTCTATTATCTACAAACAGCATTGTTGTTTAAGGGCCTGTCAGTAAGTATTTCACCTTAAGATCTACACCTGTTGTATTCGACACATGTGACAAATACAATTTGATTTGAATGGTCGAATGAACGAAAGCCTGAATTGATGTAATAATTCACTAATAATTAACTGAATTATTGAAAATAAATAGGCCTACCCGCTTGCACTTTGTACAGGCTGTGTATCCATCTACCGGGTTGTTGTCCTTAAAAACTGGGGATTTCACTCGCGCAGCACCTAGGCTATCCAGGGGAAATAAACTTGGCAACTTGTCGGATTCTCACGTGGGGAGAGGGAACATAAGCTCTGTGTGTGTACAAATTATAACGTTTTAGAACCACACAAATAAGGGCCAGTTTCCGGGCTCCACACTCTCAATGCGTGGCTGGTAGCCTTATGTCTGCCTCGCTGCTCACAGAATGGAATTCGCAACACAATGCAACACAACAGCTTCTGGGTTTTAAAAAAAGAGTATGATCTTGATTTAAAAGGTTTCCGACCCGCAATGTAATTGTTCTGAAGTGCAAGCCGACCCACAGGTTGAAAGAATGTTTTCATTCCACCAGCCAGCTGATTTTTTTTGCGGCTCAGCTGCGGGGAACCGTGGGTATCCGACCTGATGCAGGACTCTACTAATTATTAGCCAGCCCAATAGGGTAAATGCAGATAGGCAACTCCATGCTTCAGTCTATTTATTTACAGCCACTATGCTGCATCAGATTAGTTAGGCTACAGGTGATAATGCTTATTGCAAATAGCATACCTGATAATATGGTCCAATATGTTAAAATAATTGTAAACAATTTTAGCAATATGTAATTTGGTTAATTTCTGGAGGTGTCGGCATCATTTTATTTTCATTCCTTTTGGAGTAGAATGTCCTTTTAAAATGTCACCAGAACTGAGCTTCTCAGTCCTTCTACCCCTCACTCACTCCAACACACTCACTCTCTTTTAAACCTCTAGGAATAGCCTCCAGTTGGCTCCATACAGAATTTTCTAGCTGGCACAGAGCCAAGGGGTCTGTGATTGGTTTGAGACGGAGATGGATTAGACAACTAACACCACCACTCAGTGAAATATGGTCCTTCATATGGCAGAAAGCATGTCTGTCCATACAGAGAAACCCACACATACACAACACGTAGAGGTATGCATTGATTCACAGGCACATTTTATATAAGTATTGCACAATATGTGGCTGAATACTCACACACACTCATTGGGTTAATACTGTCATGTTATCTTATAGGTTAGAGATATGTTGTTATAACCAGAAGCTAGCTAGCACAGAGACGTGTATCATGTACACTCGCACACACGCACACACGCACATGCACACACACACACCACGCACGCACACACATGCGTACGCACACACGCGCACACACAGATGTAGTGCCTCTAGTCAGGTTTGGAGGCAGAGTAACCGATCACAGATACACACACACCGCCCCTAGGATAACCCCGATTTTACCCTTTAATTGACAGCTGCTGTCTGGAGGCACTGACCCCAGGTAAGCGAGAGAAGGAAAGAGAAGGAGGGTGGAATGGAGAAGGGGGTAGCTAGCACCATCTCTTCTGAGCTCCTACACTGCTGACAGCATGGTTTCGGGACAAGCCTGCAATTCATCTGTGCATGTGTGCAGGCATGTGTATGTGTTTCCTGTCACCCTCTTGCCCTGCGCTTCTCTCTATTCATTAGCTGTCTCCTCATTAGGCAGCATGCATTGGCCTTCACTTGCCCTCACCTCTCAAACACACAAGGAATGCACGCACATACACACACCTCTCTTCACCAATGCATCATGTGCACAAACACACACACAAAACACAGATTAATTAATTAATTCAATTCAAATTCTATTTGACACATGCGCCGAATACAACAGGTTTAGACATTACAGTGAAATGCTTACTTAAAAGCCCTTAACCAACAATGCAGTTTAATAAAAAAAAATTAAAAAGCAAATAATTAAAGAGCAGCAGTAAAATAAAATAACAGTAGGGAGGCTATATACAGGGGGTACTGGTACAGAGTAAATGTGTGGGGGCACCAGTTAGTCAAGGTAATTGAGGTAATATGTACATGTGGGTACAGTTAAAGTGACTATGCATAAATAATGAACAGAGTAGCAGCAGCGTAAAAGAGGGGGTTAGGGTGGGGTGGGGTGGGTGGGGGATATGCAAAAAGTCAGGGTAGCCATGATTAGCTGTTCAGGAGCCTTATGGCTTGGGGGTAGAAGCTGTTAAGAAGTCTTTTGGACCTAGACTTGGTGCTCCGGTACCGCTTGCCGTGCAGTAGCAGAGAGAAAAGTCTATGACTAGGGTGGCTGGAGTCTTTGATAATTTTTAGGGCCTTCTTCTGAAGCTTGGCCCCAGAGATGTACTCGGCCGTACGCACTACCCTCTGTAGTGCCTTGCGGTCGGAAGCCGAGCAGTGGTCAGGATGCTCTCGATGGTGGAGCTGTATAACTTTTTGAGGATCTGAGGACCCATGCCAAATATTTTCAGTCTCCTGAGGGGGAATAAGCTTTGTCGTTCCCTCTTCATGACTGTCTTGGTATGTTTGGACCATGATAGTTTGTTGGTGATGTGGACACCAAGGAACTTGAAGCTCTCAACCTGTTCCACTACAGCCCCATCAATGAGAATGGGGGCGTGCTCAGTACTCTTTTTTTTCCCTGTAGTCCACAATCATCTCCTTTGTCATTATAATTTTTTGTTTTAGTCATTTTAGTAGACGCTCTTATCCAGAGCGACTTGCAGTTAAGTGAGTGCATACATTTTCATACTGGCCCCCCGTGGGAATCGAACCCACAACCCTGGCGTTGCAAACGCCATGCTCTACCAACTGAGCTACACGGGACTGTTTATCACGATGAGGGAGAGGTCGTTATCCTGGCATCACACGACCAGGTCTCTGACCTTCTCCCTATAGGCTGTCTCATCATTGTCGGTGATCAGGCCTACCACTGTTGTGTCGTCGGCAAACTTAATGATGGTGTTGGAGTCGTGCCTGGCCATGCAGTCCTGGGTGAACATGGAGTACAGGAGGGGACTGAGCATTGTACGAGATCTTCAGTTTCTTGGAAATGTCTTGCATGGAATAGCCTTCATTTCTCAGAACAAGAATAAACTGACGAGTTTCAGAAGAAAGTTCTTTGTTTCTGGCCATTTTGAGCCTGTAATCGAACCCACAATTGCTGATGCTCCAGATACTCAACTAGTCTCAAGAAGGCCAGCTTTATTGCTTCTTTAATTAGCACAACAGTTATCAGCTGTGCTAACATAATTGCAAAAGGGTTTTCTAATGATCAAATTAAAATGATAAACTTGGATTAGCAAACACAACGTGTCATTGGAACACAGGACTGATGGTTGCTGATAATGGGCCTCTGTACGCCTATGTAGATATTCCAGAAAAGAAATCAGCCATTTCCAGCTACAATAGCCATTTACAACATTAACAATGTCTACACCGTATTTCTGATCAATTTGATGTTATTTTAATGGACAAAAAAAATGCTTTTCTTTCGAAAACAAGGATATTCCTAAGTGACCCCAAACTTTTGAACGGTAGTATAAATATATAAAAATAAATGACACGCCGGTAGCAATTTGATTCTGAAAGTAATGGACGCGTTACTTGAAAAAGTAACAAAAATATTACAATATTCGAACAAAGTAAGTCATTATATTACTCTGTTACTCATAAAAGTAATATATTACTGTACCGTTACCTTTGTAACACCTTACCCCCGTTACGCAACGGTCTGATTCTGTGACTGGGCAAGTCTGCACACAGACACACACACAGGTCCTGCTCTATAAATACACACACACACTGGTGAGGGCGTAACTAAACACATGCTGTCACATTCCACACATATGCCAAAACAGCCTGGCATCTCTCAGCACAGACATATTATTTATTCATTCCACTGGGTAACAGACAGTGGTGTAGTGGAGGGTAAACGGGAGGGTACCCACCTTTAGCTTAAAAAATGCATAGAAAATATAGGCAGCATTGCTTTACTCAACGTGAACGACGATCATAGTTAACCCACTTTTTGTATTACCACTACATCACTGGTTGGTGTGTGTGTGGGTGTGTGTCCGTCCATCCTTCTCTGCCCGTCTGTCTCTACAGTGTTTTTAAACCGATTGGATTTTAATACTGATTATTATTAATATGTAATAATATTTTATAATAATATATATATAATTAATTGATTGGATTGTATCGCTTTTCCAGATCAAATCAAATGTATTTGTCACATGCGCCGAATACAACATGTACCATGAAATGCATATATATATATGTTTTTTTTAATAACACAAACAATAATGAGGCTATATACAGGGGGGTACCGGTACCGAGTCAATGTGTGGGGGTACAGGTTAGTCGAGGTAATTTGTACATGTAGGTAGGGGTAAAGTGACTATGGGGGGGGGGGGGTCTATGGAAATAGCCCATGTGGCAATTTGATTCATTGTTCAACAGTCTTATGGCTTGGGGGTAGAAGCTGTTAAGAAGCCTTTTGGAACTAGACTTGGCACTCCGGTACCGCTTGCCGTGCAGTAGCAGAGAGAACAGTCTGACTTGTTTGACTGGAGTCTTTGACAATTTTTTGGGCCTTCCTCTGACACCGCCTAGTATATAGGTAATGATGGCAGGAAGCTTGGCCCCAGTGATGTACTGGTCATGATGCTCTCGATGGTGCAGCTGTAGAACTTTGAGGATCTGGGGACCCATGCCAAATCTTTTCAGTCTCCTGAGGGGGAAAAGGCTTTGTCGTGCCCTCTTCATGACTTTCTTGGTGTGTTTGGACCATGATAGTTTGTTGGTGATGTGGACACCAAGGGACTTGAAACTCTCGACTAGCTCCACTACAGCCCCATCGATGTGAATGGGGGTGTGTTCAGCCCTCATTTTCCTGTAGTCCACCATCATCTCCTTTGTCTTGCTCACGTTGAGGGAATGGTTGTTGTCCTGGCCAGCACACTGCCAGGTCTCTGACCTCCTCCCTATAGGCTGTCTCATCGTTGTTGGTGATCAGGCCTACCACTGTTGTGTCGTCAGCAAACTTGATGGTGTTGGAATCGTGCTTGGCCACGAAGTCGTGGGTGAACAGGGAGTACAGGAGGGGACTAAGCACGCACCCCTGAGGGGCCCCCGTGTTGAGGATCAGCGTGGCAGATGTGTTGTTGCCTACCCTTACCACCTGGGGGCGGCCCGTCAGTTAGTCCAGGATCCAGTTACAGAAGGAGGTGTTTAGTCCCAAAGTCCTTAGCTTCGTGATGAGCTTTGTGGGCACTATGGTGTTGAACGCTGAGCTGTAGTCAATGAACAGCATTCTCACATACTGTATGTGTTCCTTTTGTCCTGGTGGGAAAGGGCAGTGTGGAGTGCGATTGAGATTGTGTCATCTGTGGATCTGTTTGGGCGGAAGGCGAATTGGAGTGGGTATAGGGTTTCCGGGATGATGGTGTTGATGTGAGCCATGAGCAGCCTTTAAAAGCACTTCATGGCTACCGACGTGAGTTCTACGGGGTGGTAGTCATTTAAGCAGCTTACCTTCGCTTTCTTGGGCACAGGGACTATGGTGGTCTGCTTGAAACATGTAGGTATTATGGACTCGGTCAGGGAGAGGTTGAACATTTCAGTGAAGACACTTGCCAGTTGGTCCGCGCATGCTCTGAGTGAAAGTCATGGTAATCCATCTGGCCCCCGCGGCTTTGTGGATGTTGACCTGTTTAAAAAGGTCTTCCTCACATCAGCTACAGAGAGCGTGATCAAAGCGCTTGGGTTAGGTATTGACGCCAACGTCCAAAGCTACACTGAACATATCATACTAGTGAGCTGTACTTCCAATAACAAAGTACACAGGACCGTATGTACGTGTCATGCTCTGCCTCATCACCAATGTGACAGACAGAATAAACTAATACATTCCACTCCTGACCTACAGCCCAAATTCAAGCACTGTCACGCATCACTGCTTAAGCTCAGGGGTAACGGGGGGCATGTACACACACACACATGCACAAAGAATGATGCAGCTGCAACTAGCGTCACACAATACCACACACGTATGTGCACTTTTCACACAGTCCCTAGAATGACCCTAACACACACACACACACACACAGTATGCACACACAGTTGTTTTAAAATACATGTCATTACAAGCAACCTGTAAAATCTCTCAGGGGGCCAATCTCTCACATCAGATAGGCCTATAATGCCATGGCAATGGAGCAATGTGGAGATGGGAGTGTGATTGGTTGTTTCTTTTTACATTTAGCAGACGCTCTTATCCAGAGCGACTTACAGGAGCAATTAGGGTTAAGTGCCTTTGCTCAAGGGCACAGCGACAGATTTTCCACCTAGTCGGCTTGGGGATTTGAAGCAGCAACTTGGCCCAACACTCTTAACTGGTAGGCTACCTGCCACCCCTACTTGTAGCGACAAGCCTTGAATTGTATTTAAATGCACAGCTAGGTAGAGTGTGTGTGCATCTTGCAAGAAATACATAATGAATTATTCTGTATGTTCCATTGTGAAGTCAGCAAGCAATGGCACTGTAGACATTGGCAACATTTCAGGTATCAGCTTCCCAAATGTGTCAAAACACTTTCAACATGTTTCTCTGACTATACAAGCGATGGTAAAAGTATCAGGCGTAAAACCTAGAGAACGACCGATATGGATTTTTTTTAGGGACTTTGGGGGGGTCAAGGAGGACGATGGCCAATATTTTAGGCCAATAATCAATATAATTTATCATGACAACATTTCCCAGAGACAGCCAAGTATACATTAATTTTAAAGTGTTTTTACCAATCTAACTACATAACATCTTGGTAATAACTTTACTTGAATGGTAAATCTCTTGATAAGCAGTTTTCTAATGTAGAGGGACTATCGGCAAAGCCGATGGAGAAGGGCCAATAGACTAGAATAGGCAATATCGGCCTGATATATCGGCTCGGCCGAGTATCGGATGTTCTCTAATAAAAACACAGACACACAGGCATGTACACACACACACCCTGCAGCAGGCAGGCAGCTCACACAGGGTAGATGAAACAGGCCAGTTCACACTAAATCCATTTCACTGCAATTACATTTACATTTTACATTTTAGTCATTTAGCAGACACTCTTATCCAGAGCGACTTACAGGAGCAATTAGGGTTAAGTGCCTTGCTCAAGGGCACATTTACGTCATTTAGCAGACGCTCTTATCCAGAGCGACTTACAAATTGGTGCATTCACCCTATAGCCAGTTTTTTTTTTTGGGGGGGGGGGGGGGGGGGGGGGGGGGGGGGTAGAAGGATTACTTTATCCTATCCCAGGTATTCCTTAAAGAGGTGGGGTTTCAAATGTCTCCGGAAGGTGGTGAGTGACTCCGCTGTCCTGGCGTCGTGAGGGAGCTTGTTCCACCATTGGGGTGCCAGAGCAGCGAACAGTTTTGACTGGGCTGAGCGGGAACTATGCTTCCGCAGAGGAAGGGGAGCCAGCAATGCCCTCGTTTGGGTGTAGGGACTGATCAGAGCCTGAAGGTACGGAGGTGCAATCTATGGGAGACAACAAATACAGCTGTAAGCACTCCACCGTTGTGTGTTTGGGAAGAGGCACGGAATAGTTATTAAATACCGTCAATACCGTTGAAACAATTTCTTTGAAAAATGTTCATACAACTTCTGTAATATTGTGTTCTTCATTTCACCTGTCACATAAGTTTCCATTATGAAGCTTACCGGTAGTCCTCAGTCACAAGAGCCTTGTGAGACACTCACTGTTGTGCAGAACACGCCAGGTGATCTAGTTACAGTATGGAATTAACAACTAAATGTTTGTCAGCTAGAGATCTTATAACTATTAAGTTAACTGTCTAAAATGTGCTAAAAGCTCTGCAGTTGTGCAGTTGGTTTGCTCATTTTGAAGCTAGTTAGCTATCTAGCTAAGTGGTTAGCTTCTTCCAAAATCAAGCCTCGCTTGGTATCAGCAGAGAATCCCCTCCTGGATCATGAGTCTTGCTGTCTAATATTTGTTATGTGCGTGCAGCAAACTGTGAGTAGCATTTTTGAGTTTCTTGTATAATTTTATGACCTGGGATGTCCATCCTGCAAATAGTTTAGGTCAGAGACTGTATAAAATGTTTGAAACGCCATCATTAGCATTTAGTTAGCATTCTCTATAGCATTGTACATGTACTTGTTAGCATTGCTAACCTTCGGATAACAGAGGCTCAATGGGGTATGAAAACAGTGCCCCTTGTGTTCAGTGCCGGTTTCACCGAATATCCCGGGATGGGACAAGGTTGGTATGAAGGTATGACAATCTGGATAACACACATTTACACGCGCACACACAGGCATACACACACACAGCACTGGAATACACATAAACTGAGTGTACAAATAAAACATTAAAATAACTCTTCCATGACAGAGACTGACCAGGTGAATCCAGATGAAAGCTATGATCCCTTATTGATCTCACTTGTTAAATCCACTTCAAATCAGTGTAGATCAGCGTTTCCCAAACTCGGTCCTCGGGTCCCCAAGGGGTGCACGTTTCACTTTTTGCCCTAACACTCCTAACACTGCACAACTGATTTATATAATCCAAGCATGATGATGAGTTGATTTTTTGAATCAGCTGTGTAGTGCTAGGGTAAAAACTCAAAAAACGTGCACCGAGTTACCAGGGAAACCCTGGTGTAGATGAAGGGTGGGAGATATGTTAAAGAAGGATTTATAAGCCTACAGACAATTGAGACATGGATTTTGTATGTGAATGGGCAAGACAAAACATTTAAGTGCCTTTGAACGGGCTGTGGTAGTAGATGTCAGGCGCACCGGTTTGTGTCAAGATCTGCAACGGTACTGGGTTTTTCACGCTCAGCAGTTTCCCGTGTGTATCAAGAATGGTCCACCACCAAAAGGACATCCAGCCAACTTGACAAAACTATGGAAACATTGGAGTCAACATGGGCCAGCATCCCTGTGGAACGCTTTCAACACCTTGTAGAGTCCATGCCCGACGAATTGAGGCTGTTCTGAGGGCAACTCAATATTCGGAAGGTGTCCTTACATTTTTTTTTTACACTCAGTGTACATACACACACCATCAATATTGACACAAATAATGCAGGTATAGGCCGATATCTGCATCCACTTTCAAGAGCTTTGAGCTGATGTGAGTAAGCAACACACACACACAGGGATCAATACATAATTACACTGACAATTAGTAGAGAGAGACAGAGACAGAGACAGAGACAGAGACAGAGACAGAGACAGAGACAGAGACAGAGACAGAGACAGAGACAGAGACAGAGACAGAGACAGACAGACAGACAGACAGAGACAGAGAGAGAGAGAGAGAGAGAGAGAGAGAGACCGAGACAGACAGACAGACAGACAGAGACAGACCGAGACAGACAGAGACAGACAGAGACAGACAGAGAGAAAGAGACAGAGAGAGAGAGAGACAGACAAAGAGACAGACAGAGAGAGAGAGAGAGACACAGAGAAAGAGAGAGAGAGAGAGAGAGAAAGAGATGTTGCTTCCAATGCAGCGTCCCACCAAACTAGACCTGAACAGTCATATTGATTTAGGCTCAGATGCACTTGGTAAAGAGATTACTGTTCCGTTTCAATAGGCAGAGGCACACCTCTGCATGGGGCCCCTTTGCATGGTATTTTCCTATGACAATAGGATGAGAATATATGTGGCGTGGAGTGATCATGTAAGGGTGTTTACAAGCTCAACACACTTGCGCACACACACACACACACACACGCACAAAAAGTACTTGATTTGGCCGTAAACCTAACTCACTTTATAAGAATGTATAATATTAGTATACTATATTATCCCATAAGTTGAACCTAGTGGTTCTCACGGCTCAGCTCATTACGTCTCAATTAACTAAGAATCATCCGGTGGTCGTCAATGTTGTCGTCCCAATCAATCATGCTTAATTACCTCTGTGCGTTTACCGTCACATTATTCTGATTAAGGGAAAAGGAATAGTCCCATGTTTTACAATTATGGTAATTAACGCTCAGACTCATTAAGGAAAATTTATTTTAATATATTTTACGAGGTTATTAGTTGGCCTTGCTTGAGCTGACCTTTGAAACTTAGCAAATATTGTTTTGGAAGAACATAGTTCTACCAGACCTAGGTTCAAATAATCTTTTAAATGCTTTTAGCATTTGCTTTAGTCTGCCTGGAGTGCCAGATGGGTGGTGTTTCAAATCAAATGTTATAATAATAATAATAATAATAATAATAATAATAATAAGCCATTTAGCAGACGCTTTTATCCAAAGCGACTTACAGTCGTGCGTGCATACATTTTTGTGTATGGGTGGTCCCGGGGATCGAACCCACTACCTTGGCGTTACAAGCGCCGTGCTCTACCAGCTGAGCTACAGAGGACCATGCTTCGTAAACAACAGGGGTAGGCTAACAGTGAAATGCTTACTTATGGTCCCTTCCCAACAATGTAGAGAGAAAGAAAATAGAGAAATAATATTGAGTAATGAGTAACAATAACTTGGCTATATACACAGGGTACCAGTACCGAGTTGATGTGCAGGGGTACAAGGTAATTGAGGTAGATATTTACATATAATAGGAATAAAGTGACAGATAATAAACAGTAGCAGCAGCATACGTGATGAGACAAAAAAGTTAGTGCAACAAGGGTCAGTGCAGATTTGGTTAACTATTTAGCAGTCTTATTTATGGTTTGGGGGTAGAAGCTGTCCAGGGTCCTGTTGGTTCCAGACTTGGTGCAGTGGTACCGCTTGCCATGTGGTAGCAGAGAGAACAGTCTATGACTTTGCTGGCTGGAGTCTTTGACAATTTTTAGGGCCTTCCTCTGACACCGTTTGCACTTTTGGGACTGTTCCATAGGTTCCATTGCGCCAAGCAATCTTAAATCAACCACAGCTAAAGTATTTTAAATGATTTTGAATAGTATTTGAACCAGGTCTGTTTGCAACACAGTCAATTCTGAATCTGATATTGGACCGTTATCCAACTCAAAACAGTTCAATACAATTTTATTTCCCCCACAATTGCCCCAGTGTGGAATAAATAAAGTTACATCGAATTGAATAATGCTATTCTTCATTATCAGAATCAGCAGAACTTGAGTTAGGCCTAACCTGTGTTTAAAAGAGATTGAGCGAGTGTTAGCGGGTAGTATTAGCGTAAAGTCTTTAGTAGCCTATCTAGGCTTATCGTAATGTAGATCAGTGTAGCAGCGGCTTCTAACCTGCGTCTCAAATGAACCCTATTCCCTATAGTGCACTACTTTTAGCCAGGGCTATATAGGGAACAGGGTGCCATTTGGGACGTATTCTTTGTCTTTTGTATGGGCTCTCAGGAGTGGAGGCGGAACGGAAGTAATTTAACCCATAAAAAGGCTAATCTGCAGCACTATCACACTCCAGAGACACGCTGCACGGGGAGAGGAGGAGGTATACATCCACTCTCACTTTGAGGAGATCTCAGTTTAATAGTGATGTGATAGCATATACACACACAAAGTCAAAAGAACATAGCGACAAACACAAACACATGCTGAAATTTGTCCCGTGTAGCTCAATTGGTAGAGCATGGCAAGCGCCAGGGTTGTGGGTTCAATTCCCACGGCGTACCAGTACGAAAAAAGTATGAAAAATTATGCACTCCCTACTGTAAGTCTCTTTGGATAAGAGTGTCTGCTAAATGACTTAAATGTAAAAATACCATACAAACACACTTTTGAATGAATGACAAAAATGAGGACCGAGAGAAAAAGAGGGTGAGAAATGGATGAAAGGATTGAGTTGTAGTCTTGTATTGTGTTAGTCTATTACAGACTCCATGAGCGTGTGCACATGCACACAAATCACTACAGTAACAATACTAACGGGTATTCTCCACCATTCTTATTCTCCTCCTATTCACTTACTGAAAGGCATACACACCAAGATGTCCCCTGACGCGGAGATTCATCTGCGATGCTACCAACCACTGGCTGGCGTGGCGGGTCAGGGGTAATGGTAGAAAGTGCCTCCCTGTGAACTTGTTGATGATGGAAAGTCGCTGCAGTGAAGGTGACAGCCCAGCGCAGGGTGACGGACACCAATATTATTTGTACTGGAGCATGCGTTCAATCATCTCCTCTCCTCCTGCTTCTGTGTAGCTGCTGGGAGACACATGGCCAGTACAGGTGTTCTGTTGCTATCTAACCATCATTATTTTTCTCTCTCTCCGTCTGCAATGTCTACTTCTTCTCTCCCCTTTTCTCAGCAGCTACAGGCAGCAAAGGCTTGTTCCTGCTCTCTTTCTAGGGCTATTTCTCTCTAGCTCACTATTTCTTCCCTCTCTCTCTCGCGCCATCTCGCTCTCATTATCCTCCATCCACTTGCTTTCCCAGTCTATCACCCCCCCCCTCTCTCTCCCTCCCTCTCTCCCCCTCACGGAGCAATTGGATTAAATCACCTCCAGATCTAAGGTTTTCGATGGTTGAGGTTAAAAGAGTGGGGGAGCGGAATGCTGATTCAAGACCTGTGCTTAGAGGATGACTTTTACTCAAATGAGTCCACATTGACCTAAGCCTGACCTAGGGTCACGAGGGGTCAAGGGCTAGCCTATCGACTTAACTAAGAAGCCATTACATCACGTTTCTCACCAGGGCAGGAGAGCTGTGTGACTGATTATGGGGCGTTATGTGGGAGAGAGTCACAGAAACTGGCTTTGGATAAGAGTTATCCTTCTGAGTTAATGCTGTGCATGAGGACAGGACATTTGTACGCAGAAAGCCATAGCCCATTTCCAAAATTGTCCAAATAATGCTAAATGGGGGAACAGAGAGAGAAGAGGAGTTGAAAAGGAAAGGGGGAACAGGAGGACAGGAAATCAACTACAGCTGAGTGCCTCAACTGGGCCATTCACAACTCCCTCTCTCTTCTTCTCTCTCCCTCTCGTTCTTTCTAGGTTGAGAGAGGACATACTGGGTTACTCAACTAGGCTATTCACAACCTTCTTTCCCTCTTTCGGTCTCCCTCTCCTGTGCTCTTTCTGTTTTTTTGTTTTGTTTTGTTTTGGGGTGGGGGGGGGGGGTAGATCAGCTTTAATAGTGCAGATAGATTGTAGCTTCCATCCTGTGCTCTTTCTTTCTAGCACCTGTGCACTCTTGCTAATTAACTGTAATAAAGAGTAACATGCTGCTACTGTACTCATTTCAACACCATTATGACAATATAAGGTGTACAGCTGTACTCATTTCAACACCATTATGACAATATAAGGTGTACAGCTGTACTCATTTCAACACCATTATGACAATATAAGGTGTACAGCTGTACACACCGAGAGAGAGTGAGTGAGCGTGCGAGATGGACTGTGTATTGCATTAATCTCAGCCTGGTGTGGTGTGTGTGCTCCGTAACGCCATGCACAGTGGATCAGTGGGGGAACCCCAGCCAAGCCTCCACCTTCCCTGAGGGGCCTAGCACTGCAGACAGCACCCGATCAACCCTCTCTCAATGAATTAGTGTCTGTGTTTGTGTGTGCGTGCCTCAGCCACTGATTTGAGTGACATTTCACAAATTACGGGGAAAGGGCTAATGATGTCCCTGTTGGACTAAATCAAAGCACTCGTAGGTTCCAGGTACAAAGCAGGGTGAGAGTGGGAACCGGGTTCAGTCAAGACACGTCGCACCTCCTCTCGCTAATTACCACTGTTCTACAGATGGCCCCAGGGAGAAGTAGTCGAAGGGGACTGAACCTAAATGCCAGCATCATGGCAGAGAGGTGTTGAGGAAGGCCCAAGGCAAAGCCCAATGTCTGAGGTCAGTAGACTAACGTTTAATTGTATGGAATTCTAATGTATAGCCTGTTGTAGTATTGTAGTAGTATTACAGTATGACTGTAGTATATTTCAACAGGGCACAGATGTTGCCAATAGCTCTAGAGGATACTGGGGCTGGGAATGGCCAGGGATCTCACGATACGATATTATGACCATATTTAGATGGCGATACGATATATACTGAATTGCCAGGGACCTCACGATACGATATTATATTATCACCATACTTAGATGCCGATACGATATGTATTGCGATTCTCACGATTCTATATGCATTGCAATTCGATATTGGGATTTGATGTTCCAAACATATTGCTCACTATATTTTTCCTGGAGAGAGATGAAAGAGCATGAGAAAATGAGTTTTGATCAGTCATGGAAATTAAAGTGCTGAAAACATGTTGGCTCACTACTTAAAAAGATGGAGAACAAGCTATTTATATTTTTTTATCAAGTCAGTCAAAGTAGCTATATAATATCGTCCAAAATAAAATTGCGATATGCAACTATCGATTTTCTCCCCCATCACTACTAGCTATGTGTTTATATGTGCATGCATTGCATAGGCTATGCATGTATCCATCGCCAACATCTGAGGCAAAATCCTGACAATTGAATACTAGCTGTAACTACGGTCTCTTCAAGTTTGACAGATGTTCAGTGAGACTATCCCTTGCCTAACCACAAGGTTTGCCATTACAGAGCTTAGGCCTTATGTTCAATGCTCTCTGAAAATACATAATAGGAATATAAGTGAATTGAATTTGTGGGACATATCAGAATTGAATCATTTTTATCTGCTTCTACCACTAACTTTGCTGATAACTTCTTGAGAGGAAGAATGTACTTGCTATGACTGTGATAAGTGGTTGTCCCACTTAGCTATTTTAAGATGAATGCACTAACTAAGTCGCCCTGGATACGAGCGTCTGCTAAATGACTCAAATGTAAATGTGTTCAGAGGGCCGCAAGACTCACTTAGTTGATGTGATGCAGGCATAGCAGAACTGAATCAGAGAATCAGATAGAATCAGATAAAGAGATCAGTAGTGTTAGGAGGGCCGCGGGACTCACTGAGTTGATGCAGGCCAGTTCCTTGTTGAGCAGCCAGGGTAGTGAGAGCTTCCCCTCTCCCCGGTAGCAGGACTGGATGCGCTCCTTGATCTTCTCCTTGATGCGGCGCAGCGTGAACAGGCACAGGGCTGACTCCTTGGGCGGCTTGGCCCGGTTCTTCTGGCCCTGTGAGAACACAGTGAACAGGATGTCCTCGTCTTCGGAAATTCCTAAGGAGTCGGCCAACTGCTTGCCGGGCCGGCTGAGGTAGGCATCCTGGACGAGACGATACTCCACCCCGTCCTTCGTACAGCCGATGGGGAACTCCACATACGAGTAGAACTTGGGGTCGTCCACGCAGAGGCGGACGATCTTGGAGGTGAAGAACTGTTCGCCGGAGGCATCAGGCGAGGTGAGCTGAGTGTCCAGCTGCATGGTCAGGTAGTAGACAAACTGTTCGCTGCTGAAGCCGTAGATATAGTAGATATCAAAGGCGGGGAATTTGCTGAGAGTGTCCGAAGGGATCTTGAGCTGCGAGGAGACAAACTCATCCTGATAGACGAAGCTGAACATGTCAGCGTTCTCCTCGTTGGACATCAGCTTGCGGCTGGAGAGTGTGGGGAAGTACTCGGACTTGCCATCAATGGGTGTACCGATGAAGAGCTTGCTGGCGGGGCCGTGGGAGGAGGTGATGATGACCCCGGACATGGTGCCAGACTCGGTCACGCTGGACAGGTAGTGCTCCTTACGGTGGTGCGGCTCACCCAGTTTGAACAGGTCGTCCAGCCTGAGGAACTGGCAGATTCCCTGGGAGGTGCTCCCACAGGCAATGAGCCGGTTCTGGGCGTAGTCGATGAGAAGCAGCTTGTTGACGTTGCTGGTCTGGGCAAGGTCGTGGGGGCACGACTGGACGCTGGGCGGGGGATAGCACTTCTCGTTGTCCACCACAGGTCCAGTCATGTGGCTCCGCAGCTTGGTAAGGTTGCTGGAGAGTTTGAAAATCCAGTTGACCGTGCCGACGTAGACCTCACCTGTCTTGTTGTGGATGGCCAGGTGTGTCAGCCCCCAGTCTGGTGGGGAGAAGGATTTGAAGGGCTGGGGTTGACCTCTGGTACGGGATGGGACCGTCAAGAGGACCAGCATCCCCAGAAGGAGCAGGTTCCTCAGGCGTGGGGCAGCGAGTGACCTCATTAGGGGCCACATATCTGGGGTTTGCGGGAGGCAAGGCTGGGGGAAGGGATGGGGGAGGTGGGTTCACTCCGGCACCTAGTCCGTATCTGTTTATATTCTAGCTTATATTCCCCTGGAAGGAGGGTGGATGGACAGAGGAGAAGGGGAGGAAAGCTCCTATTGATCCGGTGTCTTTCTCTCTGTGTTCGGAGTTGTCATCCAGAGCATCATCCACAGTGGCACAGGTGGGAGCCCTGAAAGGCAAAAAACACATTATGAGTCGCGATGGAACATTTCCTATTGATTATGCATCAGCCAGAGAGCCTAAAATCAGACGAGATGCCCTGCTAAATTTAGACAAAGGTTAAGAGGGCATTCACCCACCCAGATGAATAAATTATGCAAAGTCATATCAGTGACCACAGTATGAAGGAAGATAGCTAGCGAGAGCCACAGGAGGATTACCAAATGCACGGTACAATAATGAGTCACACTGCAATGAGTTTAAGACACACAACATCCAGCCCCTTAATATTTAATATGTTCAACAGTATCGTGAAGGTTCGGAGATGGTCTGCTTAGAAAATCGGCAGAAGGGGCGCCCTACATGCGGCAGCAAGCCTAGTGGTTAGAGCATTTGGCCAGTAACCGAAAGGTCGCTGGTTCGAATACCTGTGCAGACAAGGTGAAAAATATGTTGATGTGCCCTTGAGCAAGGCACTTAACCCTAATTTGCTCCAGGGGCGCCGTACTACTATGGCTGACCCTGTAAAACAACTAATTTCACTATACTTATCCGGTGTGTGACTATAAAACTATTGAAACCACGCAATTTGTATCCAGGTCTGCTCCCTCCCAGGACTCCCAGTGTGTGGGTTGCGGTATGCGGTATCAGGAAACTACCCAGCATCCCACTCTTCTCCCAATAAGAGCCTTGTTCTGCCAATAGCATCGAGACATGGTTCGCTTTTACTCTGTGGCAGATCTGCAGCTCTCTGATGGCCAAAACATGTTTGATACCCTGAGGGAGGTAGAGTAAAAACAATGAGTCAGCTGCAATCAGGATGTAGAGTACAATACAAGCAAGAAGAAAATGAATGAATGAGATGGATCGAGAGTCGAGACACGTATACCACACACCTCAGAGAGATTCATTGCTGTTGTTGTCATTGTTGTTGCGGCTCCAACAACGCAAAACCCCTTTTCCACTCCAGCCAAAGCTTCTCTCGCTAACTCGCCCCTCCCAACCCAGTCATTCACTCCAGCCAACCCAACCCAGTCATCCACTCCAGCCAAAGCTTCTCTCGCTAGCTCGCCCACCCAACTCTGTCATCCACTCCCAGCAGTCACATGCTAATTATCTGCTTCCCATCCAAACCAATCAGTTGACGTTCCAGGACCCACTTTGCTATTCCCGGTGTGGGCGTGGGATTGACTAGATTTAGCGGCGCTTAGCCCTAATTCCAACCCCCCCCTTCGATCATCATATTCGCTAATGCTTCAAAATGAAGAGACGCTCATATTGTGACATGTGCCAGCACTCAATCGGCTCCCATACATTAATTTAACTTAATCCCATTTCATGTGTAACCACAATGCCCCAAGAGTTGGATTCCCATGGCACAGAAGATCCACAAGATACAAGATAGAGAGAGGAAGAAGGGACGGGGGGATTGATGGGAGAGGAGGGAGGTGGGGATTGATTGACGGGGGAGTGGAAGTAATGGACAAGGAGTATTTTCCCTTTCTTTTGGGTGTCCTCCAGTGACAATGATGGCAGAGAGCTTTGAGCTGGCTCGCCTCGGCGCTGCTTGACAGGCCAATCAAGTTCTAGCGATACCGGGACATTAGTTCTCCTGTAAATGTTGATTATGCCAAATTGTTTGCAGCAACTCTCAGAGGCCCGGCTCAATTTCACCTTGACTATGAAAGTGTCGGCGGAGGAGTATTTTATGACTGAACTGAATTGGGAAAGATGAGAAACGATGGGGGGGGGGGGACAAAAACATGAGACAGAGAAAATCAAGCAGAGGAGAAGGAGGGAAGGAAGAATGAGGAATTTTATTTCTTCCTTCCCTTATCTTCCGTTTTCCTCTGGAGAGTGATTGAGGGGTTGGCCTATCTGTCAATCAGTCCCCAAGGATGCACGGAGGAAGTATGCTCAGTTTACCAATGGCTGTGTGTGTGTGTGTGTGTGTGTGTGTGTGTGTGTGTGTGTGTGTGTGTGTGTGTGTGTGTGTGTGTGTGTGTGTGTGTGTGTGTGTGTGTGTGTGTGTGTGTACATTGGAGGAAGATTCAGGGGGAAAATTAGCCTTTTTCCAAACCAAAAAGTGAACGATTAAAATGCACAGCAATTTCCACCCCCTTTTCGCCATCTACAGTGGGTGGAGGTGTGTAGAAGTAAGTGTGGCATTGCAAACCATGGCGGCTCCAGTAGCAACTAGGTAAAGGGGGATTTGTGTCATTGAATTTCCACAAATGAAAGTCTGGACAAGATGAATGTGCCGTGGAGAGGGAGAAGCAGCGTGCGAGAGATAGACAGAAAGAAAAAGGAGAGCATCTGTAGGCAGACAAGAGAAACGCGCTGGCAGGCAGCTCCACCTGCATTTAAATAAGGACCTGTCTTTCTGCCGAGAGGGGAAAGCTAAACTAATAAATGCAGTGCCAGCCCAGCCAGTTAGCAGATATGGCTGTGCGCCTATATATATTTTTTTTTTCTTGGTACGTGCGTGTCAGAGCCTCTTCAACATAAGCAGGCGCAATAAAGTGAGGAGTTAGCCTAAAAAGCATTTCTTGTTCAACAGTACGGTCACGCCGCACGCATCGAGACCAGATGTCAATTTAAAGTATGGCGGGGGCTGGCTAGCTCATTTTCGTTTGTCCGTGAGAGAACGAGAGAGAGAAAGAGGGAGAGACCTGTAAAAGGTTGTCTCTAAAGTAATTCCTCTTCATTTTCAGCCGACATGACGTAACAGTGTGTGAATAGAGCAACAAATTGCATCTGCCTGGGTCTGTGGCTGGTTGTAATCTAACCAGAGTAATAAGGGAAATGCTATCATGGCAGACTGTGTCCAATGCATTCTATTGCAAAATACAATTTCAGCTCACTCACATTGGCTAATTCTATAAGATGGGTGGCTGAAATGCATGCCAGGCTAAAGCCTATGACCATATCCGTAGTCAGCTTAAATTGGGAGAGGAGTGAGCTGGTTGGAAATGGACACATTGGGAATGGACACATTGGGAATAGAAACATTACTCCCAAATCCCTATGGAATGATTGACAGATGAGGAAATTTTCAATCCCTCCCTGATAAAGAATTTGCCACCATGACCAGGTTCGTACAGATTTCCTCTCTCGTTTTTCAATTTTCCCTCTCTTCCTTTTACCTCTTCAGAAAGGACTGTAAAACCAGGCTGAACACCATATCAGGGGAAGATCAGGAAAACATGTCAATCATTTGGGGCTTCAGCATGTCTCGCCTTTTAAACCATCAGTTGAGAATCTACAGTGACATCTAGGCCCGCGCTGTTATCACATTCAAAAGGCAAAAACAGTCCCGTGAAGGTTTTACTTTGGGGCTTTTCAAAATTGATTGGCTTTTATATCAGAATGACCCCATCGATTAAGGTCCGTAGGTGTCCAGTGGGAATGGATGGGACTCGGGGGTCACTTATTTATTGTATTTTATTTCACCTTTATTTAACCAGCCAGTTGAGAACAAGTTCTCATTTACAACTGCGACCTGGCCAAGATAAAGCAAAGCAGTGCGATAAAAACAACAGAGCTACATATGGAGTAACAAAAACGTACAGTCAATAACACAATAGAAAATAGAACATCTATATACAGTGTGTGCAAATGTAGTAAGTTATGGAGGTAAGGCAATAAATAGGCCATAGTGCAAAATAATTACAATTTAGCATTAACACTGGAGTGATAGATGTGCAGAAGATGATGTGCAAATAGAGATACTGGGGTGCAAATGAGCAAAATAAGTAACAATGTAAATAACAATATGGGGATGAGGTAGTTGGGTGGGCTAATTACAGATGGGCTGTGTACAGGTGCAGTGATCGGTAAGCTGCTCTGACAACTGATGCTTAAAGTTAATGAGTGTCTCCAGCTTCAGAGATTTTTGTAGTTCGTTCCAGTCATTTGCAGCAGAGAACTGGAAGGAATGGCGGCCAAAGGAGGTGTTGGCTTTGGGGATGACCAGTGAGATATTCCTGCTGGAGCGCATACTACGGGTGGGTGTTGCTATGGTGACCAATGAGCTAAGATAAGACGGGGATTTGCCCAGAAGTGATTTATAGATGACCTAGAGCCAGTGGGTTTGGCGACGAATATATAGTGAGGGCCAGCCAACGAGAGCGTACAGGTCACAATGGTGGGTAGTATATGGGGCTTTGGTGACAAAACAGATGGCACTGTGATAGACTACATCCAATTTGCTGAGTTGAGTGTTGGAAGCTATTTTGTAAATGACATCGCCGAAGTCAAGGATCGGTAGGATAGTCAGTTTTACGAGGGCATGTTTGGCAGCATGAGTGAAGGAGGCTTTGTTGCGAAACAGGAAGCCGATTCTAGATTTAACTTTGGATTGGAGAGGCTTAATGTGAGTCTGGAAGGAGAGTTTACGGTCTAACCAGACACCTAGGTATTTGTACTTGTCCACATATTTTAAGTCAGACCCGCCGACAGTAGTGATTATAGTCAGGCGGGCAGGTGCAAGCAGCGTTCGATTGAAGAGCATTACTACCGTTTAAGAGCAGTTGGAGGCCACAGAAGGAGTGTTGTATCGCATTGAAGCTCGTTTGGAGGTTTGTTAACACAGTGTCCAATGAAGGGCCAGATGTATACAAAATAGTGTCGTCTGTGTAGAGGTGGATCTGAGAGTCACCAGCAGCAAGAGCGACATCATTGATATACACAGAGAATAGAGTCGGCCCGAGAATTGAACCCTGCGGCACCACCATAGAGACTGCCAGAGGTCCAGACAACAGGCCCTCCGATTTGACACATTGAACTC